CCCCCAACCGCGGACCCGCCACAGTAAGACATCACCTTCTTGGGAATGAACCGGATCAAGGACACCAGTTGGATGGTTCCGCTTGGGGTCTGTCCAGCTCACTCCCCGATCGATTCCCAGCCCGAGTCGCCGATTCGCCGAGTCCTCCGGGTGGAAGGCCAGGTCTTTGGCCTCCGCCACCACCCCAGCCATGACGTCGCGGCAGGCCGCCACCGCCGCCTCCGCGCCTGCGAGAACGTCGATCCATGGGCAAGGCGAAGGGAAAAAAGGGCCACTCCGGGCGAAGGGTCGCTTTACGGAAAATACGGGATCCCCACGAAGGGAAACCTTCATCAGCTAGAATGTGCCCAGATTGATGAAACATCAGCCCAGAAGTCTCCCCAGCACTGGCCAGAGTCCCCTGCCCGTAGCTTCCCGGCTTCTGTCAACCTTCCGAGTTACAAAACCAGGATTGGCTCCTAACCCAAGGGGAATGGCTGACGTCCTACAATCGAACTTGCCAAAGGCTTGATGCTCACATTCCGACAATTTCAGCCTGGTGCTTTTGCCATGCGGTGCCGGGCTTCGTCAGACACGCTGCCAACGTGACACGCGTGTTGCTCGTGGGGGATTGGATTGTTCGCCATTTAAGATGAACTAAAGGTGCTGAAAGGCGGAAAACAACAGGCAACAAACAGCAAACTAAGGTGAAGCATTTCTGCTACCAAGGATGGTCTGGAGAACTACCTTGTTCCTAAATAGGGTCACTTTGAGACAATATGTTGTTCTACCAACTCTGATCCGGAAAATCGTTGTGAATTGAGCGCACATTGGAACATATCTTGAAAGGGCGCCAGGGATTCACAGGCCCTTCCTCGCACAAAAGGGCCATTCTGCGAGCCTGCGGTGCGTTATCGCTCCTTTGAAAGGCCACCCGGGCGGAAGATCCCATGCAACCAAGAAATACCCGCGAAGTCCGGGAAATGAGTCAAGCATGGGTTGTCTCAACATACGGTAACACCCAACATGCTTGATGTCCTTTTGGTTTGCCTTTGAACCAACCAAAAGCAAGACTCACATCCGTGCCTACATTGACCTTGGGAGTTGATTTTTTTTTATTTTTTTGGGGGGGGCGGGTTAATGGTTCAGTCAAACACAGTTAGTGTCTGGGTGTCTCAAAATTTGGCCTTGGACCCCAAAGATGATGGGTTTCTGTTGGAAAACCAACAGCTAGAATGGGACCCCAATAAACACACACACACACACACACGCACACACACGTTGGCGTACATGTCCCCTTGGGTTGTGGGATGGGGGGTGGCAAGACCCCCGTAGTTGCATGATTGAAGTGTGGTGATGGTTGTTGTTATCTGGTGATGATGATCATGACTTAAACATATGTCCGACGTTCCCTGCAGGGCTGTTTCAGGGGTGTACCCCGCCTTCCGGAGCGTCGGTGATGGGCAAACGCCACACCTCCTGCGACCCGCTGAGCCCGTGGTTCTTTTTAGCTTGAAGGCCCGAGGCAAGCAGAAAGTGGTAGCTCCATGACTTCCATTTGCATATTTGCGCGTCAGGATGGTAAACCCTCGGAATTTAAGTAACCACAAGCGCATCAAGAAAGAAGAAGATCGTGTCAGCTTCGGATTGGTAAGCTCGTGTGGATTCAAGGGTGGCGACCGGGGTAATCGTTGCAAGCTTTGACTCTTACGGGAGCTGCACAAAAAAAGAAACATAGGCGCTCCGTCCAACTCAAAGCCAAACCCTCCGCTTCAGCCGGATCTGTCTTAAGATCAGCGGACCCACCCAAAATGAGTAGTTTCCTTTTGGTTTCCTTTTGACTAAACCAACTCCAGACAGGGTAGCGTCAAAAAAAAGACACACCCCGTTCGCCGAAGCCATGAGCAGCTTTGGGATGATTGAAGCAACCTGGCCATGGGCCCCTTTTAGAGGAAGCCAAACATGGCCTTGTGCTTTTTTGAGGGTACCTTTTTGTTGGATGGTTCAAAGGGAAGACAAACGGAAACCAACCGTTCTGGGGGTCCCCCTACTTTGACACATACCCACATGTTCGAACACGATGTGAGCAAATTCACATGACTCAGCTGCGTGGCCCAATCCTGGCTTCCCGGCTCGTATTGGCTCCCAAGGCGGACTTCAACCCAGAGTTGTGAATTAAACCCCCTGGATTGAAGTCTCAGGAAAGGAAACAACTTCCTGCAGCTCCAAAATGGCGGGCCCCGGGGCTCATTGGAACTCGCTTGCCTCACTCTGCTCATTATCATTTATTCGTGAAATTACATAATTGTATGTTCAAGCATGCCTGAAATCGGGAGATGGTTTTTTTCATAGGACAACGCGGGGAGCTTACTCAAAAAAGGACATCCTCCCCTGCAAACATCATTCAGCGGTCCCAATCTTCATCACGATCCAGAAGAGTTTTCCCCTCGCCTCGGGAGGTGGGCGTTTGCCCTGCTTGCCTCAGCGCCGCGGCCATGTCTCCATCCGAACGCCTTCTGACTTCACAGTCATACGGTGGATGGCCAAAATCCACTTCGCACCGCTTCGTCCACAATTCCCGAACTTGCCCGAAAGGGCGCTGAAAGGACATGCGCGAATTTGGGGGGGCGTTGGCCCCAATTTTGAATGGCGAAATGATTCGAAAGGGTCTCCAATCACACTGATTCCTGCGTACAAGCCAGTTTGCCAAAAAGGCCTAAATGTCGAACCGATCGGCAACCACGAATCTTAGTTACTCAACAGTTGTTCATCGCAATGTAATGGCAAAACTGCGGGCGTCTTGGCGAGCTCGGTCCAGCCATTCTCATGAACCCCCCCCAAAGGAGTCTTGGGAAAACGGAGCTCATCTCATGGCTCAGGGACTTGCCCCAAGGACCTGGAAGCAAAAGCCGTTTGGACCCAGACTAAACCTCGGCCAAACCCCAGGGTACACCACAAGTGGCATGGTCGCGCTCTGATCCAATGCAAATTCCGTCAAGCCAATGTAAAAATTGGATAAAAAACAATCTGGAAGAATACACAGGGGTCAACGTGACTGAAAAAAGCTGTGGGAGACCATGTTTGGCGAGGAACCAAACTTTTGGCGAACTTGACCACTGTTAGAGAGGAAGGATGGAATCCACTGGGCCTGGAATTTGCGCCGAGGCCCTGGCCGCAGGTCCAAAGAACACCTCGCATTGCAGCCAGACCATTTGGGTTCGAAAATTGGAACGCCACCCCCGTGTGCTCGGGGACTTTGACAACAACTGTTTGCTGGTGAAAAAGGATTTTGAAGGAAACCCAGAAGGGCAAAAAGGGCCAAAAAGGCGCATCAAGTCTGGCAATGTTGCATGGCTTGTAGAGCCCTTTTAGAGTTCTGGGGGTCTCAAGTTTGAAAACACGTTTGGGGCGCAAAAAGTGTTCCTACCAGACTCAACCGCACGACTTGGGAGGAAGATGATGGATGTTCAACAAATTGCATACTGGACGGCCCTGCTCCAGCACACTCCGTGGTTTGGAGAATCACGCTTTCTGTGATGCCAAAGTGAGCTATGTTAAAGGATTCCCAGTTTCGACACGCAGCCGCGCATAGCAGGAATATCAACCCGCAACATTTAGGGAGCAGAATATCGCGTCAAGATAGTCAAAATACTTCCTACTGTTTTGTCACTTTGAAGCTGAAGTCCCTTGCTGTCACAGAAAGTGGCCCTAACAGAAAAGCGGAACCATTGAAGCGACCTTTTCACGCTGTTTAGAGGGAACCAGCCCAACCATGGTAAATGCTTAGTTTGGCATACACTCAAGTCCGGACGCACGTGCTCCAGAAAGCCGTGCGGATTTCTTGCGAATACCTGCATGCCCGAAATATTGCTAGTAGGATGGATAGGTTGTCGAAACTGAGCGTTGGAGCTTACTCCGCCAGAAGCAGACATTCCACCGGAATGTCGCGAGCTGTCAACAAGGTTCGAAACAACATAGAGAGCCAAGAGGGTTACCAGCAATATTTTTGGCAAAGAGCAACATTGGTAGGGCGGGACTACCAATGGATGAGTTGCGAGCGTCACGGTGGGCTCTTCGCCCCGAAAGATGCGTTCTTGACAGTTGATCAGCAGAAGCCAACTGCTGTGGTTGCGAAGGTGCGAGGAGAACGTTTGACGCACAGGTTGCATACGTGCCTTCCGGGACAGAAAGACGCTTTTGCAAATTCGCATGATCACGTGTCTTCTTCTAGGTTGTCTTTCGATGCTGGAACAGCGGACCTGCGTAATCGCAAGTGACCGCTCGGAGCGCTCGTTTCTTCCAGCGGCTCCTTTTGGAATAAACCCAACATTCGTCAACCAACGAGTCTCGGCCCAACCTCAGGGTGCACAACAAAATATGACCTTCAGACTGTCGGATTCTGTTTCATGCTCAGTCCACCCTATGTAAAATTGTTCTGCTTTGGAAAAGAATCCTAGGGCGACCTGCTCTGTGGTTTCTTCCCAGACCGATGGATTTCCGATCCGGGAAAAGCCCACAGAGCATGGAGTCCCAAGAGCTCCTAAACAGCAGGAAAACACCGGAGGTCTTCCAAGGCCACTGGAAAGGGAATCTACTTGGCCCAGCAACCGCAGGAGGTCTGAGGAAGCCAAGGGTTGCAAGGACACTGGCGCTCCGAGTCTCAGCGGATCTGATGCTCTTCGAGATATAAAAGAGCCAATCCCGAAGGCTCATTTGCTCATCCCTACTTCCATTTGCAGATTTGCTACTATGGCTTGTTCCAGTCATGACCATTTCGCCTGAAACCAACGGAAACAAACTAGACCTCAACCACATGCTGCCCCTATGCTCTTTTTCTAGAGCACAGGATTCCCATCCATCTCCATGACTACTTGATCATTTGATTTTGGAGATTCCCTCGATACCACCAAGGCCCAATTCTCCACAACCACACGCAAGTGTTGGAAGGAGCCCAAGATGGGTGCAGTGCCCAAGGTGATTGTCCCCTACTGGGATCCTGCCGTGGAGCTACCAACGAAGGGTGGGTTTGTCCCTGCTAGAAGGGAACACCTACTTGAGGAGGTGATCGATACGTCAAGCTTTCCGAGGCCACAACTTCAACCAGGCCTGGCCTCGTGGGCAGGGATCTGGCCTCAAAAGGATTGAACCCTTCAGATTTGATCAAACACGAACCAGTCAAACCCCGTCTTGCCGCCAGGAACCCCGACGGATCCGCCGCAGCTCCTGCAGCATGCGGTGCGCTGCAGGGCCTCAATGCGCTCAGTTGGTCTGGGTTGAACTGATTTCCAAGTTCTTAGGAAGCTGTTTGTCAGCAACATCCCCAAAAATAAACATTTGTTTTATCTTTACAAAATGCGGTGTCAAACACGGTATAGGCAAGCCTTTCAAGGAAGCCTGCTGGTGTTGGCTTTGCCTCACTTCCAGATCTGGAGCCTCCAAGGGTTGCCTTGTCACCTTCCCCCTTCTGGGCAATATATCAGTTGGTGCCCTTTTTGGGCTGCTATTTGAACCCCCCCCCTCAAACAAGGAAATTCTACACTCAAATGAACACGGAAACCTGGGGGTGATGCTTGGAGGGCACCTGCGGGCGCCGTTCTTGGGAAACCCCTCAATCAGATTGCCCGTATTCGGGGCTGGTCTTGGGCGTGGCCTGGGCGCAGGTTGCCCGCCCCTCTCAGCGAAAGGGCGCAGGTTGCAGATCATCACCTTCAAGCCCAACTCCTCCAAGTTGGCATCGTCCTGAGTTGCCATTGACAGCCCTTGCGTGTCCATGTGCCCATTTAGAAAACTAGTTGGAGGCGTGCTTGCGCAGTCCTTCTGAAGCTCCCTTCCCTTTTGGTGCGCTTTCAGTACTCTTTTCAGAAACCCTTTTGCTATCTATCAAACGTAGCACCCAAAGTCATACCCTTGAGACCGACCAAAAGGCACACGGATTGTTGAGGGTCGAAGTCAGGCTTGCCCATACCCCACATCAATATGGTGGTTAGTTGGGCCTTGTCCCCCTTTACAGCAGAAAGAATCCAGCTGAATTGGCCAACATTGGTTTTTGGACACTCCAAAAAAGCCACGGTCAATATTTGTTATGACCAATGACTCTGGACTTTGGAGAGTAACCAACGTGTCAAATCATGTCCTTTGCTTTAAAGCAGGCAGCAGAAAATATCTGCAACTTCTACAATTATTTAAAAACACAAAACTCAGGGCTCCCAGGTAAAGGTCCTTCATCAGGGTGATTTCGTTTTACTCCCAGGTGAGCTCACCACGAAATAAGCAGGACAACACCCCCCTTTAACCGAGATCGCTGCCTCCAAACGCTCCGTCTCGCCAGCCTGGCGCACGGGTCGATTTCTTGGTGCAGGCGGGGCGCACAGAGCTCACCTCCGAGGAGGGCAGCCGACGCAGATGAAAACAACAACCTAGGTGTTCTGAAAAAATCCAAGCACTGCCGGGGTCAGCCTTCCGTGACACAGAAGCCCCGTGAATTCAGGCGTTGAGCCAAAATGGAAGAGGTGTGTGTGGAGTTGTAAGGCAACTTGCCATTTGTCGATTTAAGAGGACATCTCCATCTCAAAGCCTTCTCAAAGCGAAACTCTGGTGACCAGTGACCTGGTAGAACAAGAATTGGAACCCCTTTTGGCTGGTGGATTCCGCGGTTGGGTCCCAAACCAGTGGTCCAAAGCGCGTCCGCGCCAGACGAGGAGCAAAATGGACGCCAATAATTTCCGATGGGTCACCGGGGGCGCAATGGGTCCGATCGCAACGATCAGAAGACTCAACTAGATCCATCTCGGTTTCAACCAAACTGAAACCAGGTCTGCGCACCAACACATGTTGGCTGGCGAGAGTGCACATAGGCGTTGTATCCGTGTATAAATGCGGCATAGGTCTTACACTCACAAGATATATCTATACAATATGCATACGCATAGGCATTATATTCCGATATCAGTCGGGCTATCGTCATCACCTTCCCAGGCCCAGGGTACCTGCCACCCACCCACCCACCCGCCTGCACTGGGCGGCTTTGCTCCAGTAGCTCTGGAGCCTGGGGCAGTGGGAAGGTCATGACCCTTTATTTTTCTCTGCAAAGTTGCAAAGAGCACGTCAACCTGCAAAGGAGCAATGGCTCGAAATGGGCTCACATACACCAATGGTCACTGTTCGGCTGCAATGGCCTCCCGCGCGAATCGGCTCTGAATCAGTGCGGGACCAAGACGATGAACAAAGGGGAGCTCTAAAACAACCTGCCCTCGCCCTGCCTGCAAAGAAACAAAAGAAGAAGCTTCGTTTCGCGTTTGGGGAAATGGTTGCGCCTTGCGATAACCGTTCAGTGAGTAGTTTGTCATCCTCCCCAAGGGTATCCCAAAATGTGCGTCCAAATCCAGCCGGATTTCCCCGAGGCCATGAACCATTTTGGGGGAACAGAAAGTTTGCGCGGCCATGGAACCAGGCCCAAAGGCACTGGCTCCCAATTCGAATTCTTATTGGCCTGTTCGGTGTTGATGGCTCAGTTTCAAAACGCCTTCAAAATGCCAAGCACTGGGGCTGCTGTGCTCGCCGGAATGGGGGTGCGTTAACCCCTTGCTAAAACTTGTGTGGGATATGTCCATAACTCCCTAACGAACCGTGTGGCTGGGAACCGCCCTGTGCTCCCTACCGATAATTTGAGGGTGTCCACAACTGGTGCAGATGGTTCTTCGAAGGGCTTGCCGACTTTGGTGAGGAGTCAACAATGGGTTTTGGGAACAAGCCTCGGGATCCTTTAAGGAATCCACAACGCATAGATGGCTTGTATGGGGTTGTTCCCGCAGTTCCTCAGCTTGCTGAGGGTGTCCCGTTGACAAGTCCCAAGTGGACTTGCGATTTCTGCCCGCTCGAACTGGAGGATGCATCAAAGGTTAAAGACACTTGCTGGGCATACGCCGACTAGCAACTAGTGGGAATGGATGTTGCCAATCCACAACCTGCTGGCTGCCCCGAAAGGAGATGATGCCTTTCACGATTTCTCAAGGCCACCGCCTCAGCGCCCAGATTCCAAAGAGGCGCCCTTTCCTCAAAACACCCCAAGCGGAAGCTCGCCTACCACTGGTTCAACAAGCCAGGGTTAAACTGGATGCAAGCAGAAACAGAAGGACCCCTGACCAAGGCAAACCGTCCGTCTCTTTGCTTCGGGCACCCCGCGAGCCCGGCCACACGGGCCACGCTGCGGCGCGCCGTGCAGGCGGTAGCCAGGGAGCCTTCGCTCGGTTCGAATGGATTCGGATTACACTCGGGTGAAAATAGATGGCACGGTTCCCTCTATTTGGGAGGTACCCAAGTAGGGACATCACGACATCTACTTGCGCGCAACTGTGACCGAAAGGACGACCATCCTAAATGGCGGTTCACTGCCGATGAGCTATTTCATTGGGGAGTCCTGGAATGATAATATGTCCTGCTCTTCTTCCTCCAAAGTCAGCGCTACTAAGCTGGCCGACCAGTGACTGAGGTTTTTGGCGCCACTCAAGTGAAAGGTTTCCTCGTGCCCCTGGTTCCGCGGCGCTACCTTCATTCCAATAAAAGTTCCCGGCAAGGTGGCAACCCGGGTACCAACTCAAAAAAGCTCATCTTGCCACATTTATCAAATGTCAACCACTAGTAGAGACCTAAGAAAGACGACGCCGGTTTCTGACTTTGACAAACCCTCTGAAGTATTCTGTCCTGGCCTCGAATTGTTGAAAGAGGGCCTTTTTTTGTGTTGCTGTTCCGAGTCTCTCTTTGCTGTAGTGTTTGTACTCCGTAGTCTTGTTGGTCTCACTGTGTCTGTGAGCACATGAAAGCTCTCCAATGATTGAAATGACCGTTTCCACCTCAACCTGTTTTGGAAAAATGATAGCTCAAGCGCACGCCTTCGCACCCCTTGTTGACATACTCTCCTAGTTGATTGCTCTGGAAGCTGTGTTGACCGAATTCCAACGTCCCACTGTTCAAGAAAACATCACTCTTCAGGACGAAGCTGGCATGAAGCTAATTCACTGGTGGCATTGGGATATTCACTGGTTGCCTTGGGGATAAGGCCCTCCCAAAACCAGGGCTTTGCCCCCCTGAGCGACCGACCGGCTGGGATCAGCACGGGAACCTTGTGGTTCACCTCAGCTTCGATGCTCTCCAAAAACCTGACCCCAACTCCGACCACCATTTCTCCCTGGCAAACCAACGGAAGGAAGCCAACGGAGGCCAAATATCCCAACAACTTGGTGCCTTAAACGCGGTTAATTCATGGGGTTCCCTGTTCATCTGGGGAGTAAGAGTAAGGCCTTCTGGGTTCAAACTGGGGTCCCGGATCCCTCATCCGGCCATCTGGCACTAACACTCCCTGACATTTGCTGTGGGAACCTATCGGAACACCAAGATGTTTGGGGTCCCTTCCAGGATTAATAAATCATTGATTGATGAATGCGGGCTTATCCCGTTTCGGGGGCAAACCTTCAATTGTTGGGCGGCAAAGGCATGTATACCAGGTTGATTCATCCAAAGTCACCCTCAGTAATTTGCCCAGAAAGGATTGCAAAGCGACTTGCCACGAACAAACTCCTCAAGGTACAAACATCGGTGTTTGGGCGTCGTTTGAAAGGCTTGGGTTTGGGAACCCCTGGAGAAGGCAGGGCTGTGTCTCGGTGACACGCTCTTCATTGCAAGGCTTACCTTTCAGCACCCTAGGAAACTCCATCAATTGCTTTGGAGAGTCAATCATTTCCCCCAAGGGGGTCAAAGGGCAAAACCTCTTTGATGTGTTGTGCTTCTGATGGCTAACAGCATGCGGTTTCTTCACAGAAGCAGGAACCAACCAACATGACTATGGACGAACAAAACAATTATACACATTCTTAGCGGAAACCAGCAAGAACCCGCGGACAACTAAACGACAACTCATAATCCGAGACAAACACAAACAAACCATAACATCACAACACAGAAGGCATAAAAACACATTCAAACGAACCAGGTGTAATGACACCACAAAACACCACAAACAATACAATCCACATACACGTGTAAAAAAAAAGTGTTGGCATAAGAACACCGAGAACGACCCCGCACATGCCGCGTCGGCCTCCGAAGGTCCGAAGGTCGAGCCCGGGACCCCGGGCGGGTTGGGAGGCCGCGGGGCGCAGCACCGCGGTCACGGGCCACGGGGCGCGGCCCACCACCACGCTGCCCTGGCCCAAGGCCAGGCCCTCGTCCCAGAGCCTCGGGGGGGCGCTTCGGGGGTTGGGGAGGTCGGGGAGGTCGGGGAGGTTGGGGGTGAGGGTTGGGGGGGGAGGGGAGGTCGGGGGGGGGTTGGGGTTGGGAGGTTGGGGGGGGGGTCTCAGGGAGGGGGTAGGGGGATCCCAGCCTGGGACACATGCCCATATGTCGGTTTTTGGCAGCCGAACAGACTTCAGGAGTCTCCCGTTTCCAGAATGGATCTTGTCGCAAGACGTCATCTAATAGAAACAAGACACCGGATTGTTTGGGGGGTGGTGGGGGTGATTTGAGGGGTGGGGGGTGATGGGAGGTTTTGGGGGATGCGGCTTTGCTTAGAGGGTACTGAATCTTGCCCGAGTTCCTGGTTTAGGGAGATCCTTGACCCATCAGGTTCAAGTTAGTCGAAAACATGTCACACAGAGTGAAAGTAGTGGAAAACATCTTGCATACCATTCAGTTTATGTTCCGTGCGGAAGGATGAGGACTTAACCTAAAGAGCATAATAATCTTGCTTGCTGCTGCCTTTCTTCCTCTCTCCACCATGTAATTCCTAATCCGAAATGAAGGTGGCGAGAGAAGGTGAGAGGCATCGGTCAAAAGTCTTAGACGAAAGAGCAGTGAGGAGGAACGACGTGGCATCATCTTTTGGGACCAACGGGTCCATCCGTACGCACAAAGGCAATACTATCTGACTATCTCGTTCTCTGATCCTCATTTCTGGATTTTGTGTTTTCAATGTTTAACATCCAATAAGAAATGCTGTGGACAAACGTGCTGAAGGGACAAGAAAGAAATAGAATCAAGTACTAATTCTTCCCTCCCCGCCCCCCAATGATAAGAAAACAACAGAAGGGGGAACTCCTCAAAGGCCAGTTTTAGAAGACCAGCCCCTGCAGTAGAACGACCTGCTAAACTTACTCCACCGCCCGTGGGTTGCTGTCACCCAGTTGCCGTCGCCCACATGCCCAGAGTACAGCATGCAGGTCGGCCAGCAATCCAGGGCTGGCTAACCGTCCTATGCTGGCAACCCAGGTGAGGTTTAAGCCATCCAAAACGAGAAGTATGTTGACTCCTGTGGATCGACCCATCCTACGTCTATAACAGTCCCGTTTGACTGGCCGAAGTCAAAGTTCAGCAGACTTCGAATCCAGTCCATCCCGATCACTGCTTTGTCACCTGAAAAGATGATTGCGAACGGGTATCATATTGACCATGTGAAAGGGCGTTGAAAACGGCAAACCATCCAGAAAGGGCCGTTGACGCCGTCTCACAGACACACACCGACCAACTGGGCCAGACTGAGACCCCCTGCAAAAGAAGCTTTGCTTCTAAAAGGGAGAATTAGGGAACCCAATAGGGCCTTGAAGGACAAACAGGTTGGGCCAAAGCTTGACAATGTTAGGAATGGGTCGAACAAATGGTGTGAGTGTGGCGTATCGGCCAAGCAGGGCCTTTGCGCCCTGTACCCTGAAGGCGGTACCACTGCGCGCCGTGCGGAGAGCTTTTTGGGCCCCGCGCAGCGCGGCGTCCGAGCCGAAGAAGAGCAGGCGTGCGCCGGGCCAGCCCCAGCCTTCGAAGCGAAAGCCGAAGCCGCGGAGTGGAGGGCCCTCCCCCAAGAAATGAAGATACACAAAAGGCTCGCCCATGGGTTGAGCATATTGAAAAGGGGGTTCGGAAGACGGGACCGTCAGTTGGGCACCATACCATCCCAACTGTCACAGTCCAACAATGCGGACTCAACATCAAACAGAACGTTCCCCTCGCCCCCTCCCCCAGCTGACAAGAAAGGGTGTAAGTCTCTCAGATTTCTTTGACCTGCCATGCAAACGTGCATTATAACAAGCACACCACAGGACAGGGATTTCCTACTGCGATGCCGGAAGGCCGTCAACCTTCACGCGGGGCCACGTATCGGGTGCCCCTTAACAAAGGGTGGCTTCGCAGTGGTACCTACGGTTTGCACTGAGCACCTTCGGCTACACCTTCTAGTTGGCACCCTGGTGTATGGCACGTTGGAACCTTGAAACGCCAAGCATGTGATGTGGACCACGGTCATTTCAGTGAATGGAAAATCAAGGGACCCTTACATGAGAAAACCCTGTTGAGCGGACACCCCTGCTATTCTCGATGCACAATGGGCCCCTTTCTGTGATGCGAAGCGCGTTTCCAGCCTATCAAAAAGATTATCAATTTCCCAAGAAAAAACATGTTCCACAGGCTCCCCAGGAGCGTCATGCGCATCGCGAGCGAGTCGCCCTGGCTTCAGAAAGTGAACTACCACATGGCAGCCATGGCTTCTGCTCCTGCGAGCTGATGAGTGTCATCTGAAAACTGTGTTTTTGGGGTTCCATACTGGTCTGCAGGTTTGCGGAATACCTCGTTTACCAGGGATCCGGATTCACGCGGACTTTTTGGCAAGTGGCAACCTGGTGCTTCCAACAGCTGATCCATGGACAAGATCCGTTGTTCCTAGTGGACATGAACAACTTCTTGGGCCCCCTGGCAACCCGAAATCCTGGTCAGGTGTTCGTCCCAAACCTCCTCATTTGTTTCATGTTCAAAGCCGTGACATCATAAACCAAGGACCGTTTTGGTGCATGCGTCCTTTGAGAAAGGCCAGTTTGCCCACGAGAAAAACAAAACAAAAACGTCATGTGCAGGTCTCCGTGCAGGACGACAAAAAGGCCCACTTGCGTCACGTAAACAAAGTCGTTCCCGTTCTGCATGCCTGAAAGCGGTATCCCCTAAGTTTCCGGGCTCTGCTGCACTGCATCTCGGGCCGCCGACACTGAGGTGCCTGCGGACAAGGTTGTTCCGCAAAAACCGAGCAGCACACGGGGCGGGCCAACCCAGAGATTTTGCACGTTGTGTCCCAGTCTGCTACTTGACCCCCGCCTCCCGGAGATGAATATGGTATGGCATGATATTGCGACGGCAACATCTCGAAAGACTCCGGATGTATACCTTCAACCTTGGAGTATAGGGGGCTCAAAATGGCTGAATTGCGTTGTTTTCACCAAAACGCGAGCAGGTAAATCGGACTCTGAATGTTGGATGTGTCAAATATGCAAAAAGAAACCAAAGAATCAAAAGAACGGAAAGCTGTGCCGATTCTCATAGTGATTCATGATTACTGTAACACAGTTGCCTAGTCGCCTTCATCCACCATAAGGGGTGGCTCGACCTCCGCCGCCGATTGAATTTTGCAGCTTTCCCACAAACCAAAATGAAAGAAGAAGAAGAAGAAGAAGAAGAAGTTGCACAATAGCGGATTGGGGGCTTGGGAGACGCAGGGGTCTTTCAAACTGGACCTTCCTGAAGCCAGACAAAGCCTGTTGACCTTTTCATGCTTTTCCTGCAAACAGTGTCAACGCTAAAAGCACAAGACCCGATTTCCAATCAGCACCTATTCTAGCTTACCTGGAAAATGAGGCGCACCTACGCGGCCAACTGTACTGCTGACCATCATACGCTGGCTGCACTGACTGCCAGAGACACAAGCTGTGCCTGTCGAGAGTCACCACAACCAGAGGATCCGCACAGTCGCAAACCGCGAAACCGCTGCGCAAAATCTTCGCTGCACCCATCGACGACCGCGACGAAGCTGTGTCCCATCGTAGTCCATCCAGACAGCTGATCGAGTCTCCTCACCGTGCAAATTCGCACGGAACCCAGGAAGGGGGCCGATCCAAAGGAGCTTCCTCTACAAATGGGATTGTGGGCGCCTTGATAAGCGAAAACGGGGGTAACGCGAAAAGGGCAAAGTAGCACAAAGCTATCGGCGAACGGCAAAAGTGCAAAAAGGTTAGGCAACAGCCGGGCAATGCTGAGAGATACCCCGTAGCAAGTTTTTACACCGAGAGAGATGTATTTCAAGATGTGGGGCATGGGCCGATTCCTTTCTAGATCGCCATGACGATTCGAGATGATTCGAATCGCCATGACGAATGATCACGCTTGAAGGGAGCCCCCAAGGGTAACGCAGATTGCAGCAACCTGAAGCATTTGAATCGCAACCACGGTGGCTGGACAAAATCTGCACCCATGGGAATGAATATAATAATGAAACAGCCACCTATCAACTGATGTAAGAATTCGTTCAGCCACAGCATGTCCTTGCAAAGTCAAATGGCTCACAACCATCATAACAAACCAGAAACAACGCACAAGAAAACCAGAACCAAACTACGAAGCTGGAAGCTAGAAGTGCGAGTTTGCCAAGATTAGGCTTTGACCCTTTTGAATGGACGCCCAGAAAAGCTGAGTCTGTTATAAAGTGTTGAAGGGAGGGCATCCAACTGCTTGAAGCTTGTGAACATCCAAAGGATTTTACTGAGCCAAAGCAAATCCTTTGGAAGCTGAAACAATTGGGGAAAAAAAACTGTAAAGCACCGGGTTTTACAGCGAATCCTCTAAACCTGCTATTGCAAGTGACTGTTCAACTGCCCAAATGCATCTGAATTACCAGTGCTGCTGCTCGTTCTCAGCAGGAATGAGTTGGAATGACCGACCCCAAACTGAACCATCCAACTGGTGTTTTCCCTTCGGATCCAGACACTTTGTTCCCAAAACCCTCAAACGATTCCTTGCTGGGAACCCGCAAAAATGCCAAGCGCAACAGGACTTCTAACTGCCAATCCCTTACCTTCGTGCAAACTGAAGCGAGGTACACTACCTCTAAACCGGCTCCCAGAAATTACGAACCCTTTCCACGCGGTTGTCACGTCTTTGGGTGCGAATGGGTTTTCTCTTCAAGAACCAGTGATCCCCGAACCACCTTCGGTTGCAAGGGTAGGAACTATCCATATCGATCGTCCCCAATAAACCCTAGACTGGACATATCAAGCAACCCTCATATCTAGCCCAAGTAGCCAGTAAGCAGTCCCCAAGCAACCAAGTAAGCAAGTAGCCAAGTACCCAAGTAATCAAGTAACCAACCACCAGGTAACCAATGACCACTGAGTTTCTATCCCAAGCAACCAGAATGTGTCTTCTTTTTTCTCGCCTTTCTTGAGTTGCCCCCTTGTTCCTTGGTTTTCCTTCAGAAACCCAAAAAGGAAAGCCGCCGGCTCCGCCCACTCCGCGCTCAGCCGCCGCGCCCACCGGAACTTCCAGCCGCAGCTCCGTGCCGGAGCCCAGCAGCGTGACCTAGGGGCCCATTGCGCCCGCCGACCCGTCGACGATTTGGGTGACCGTCCGAAGGCAAAACGCCAAGAGCTACTGTGGGTGGGCGAAATCCATTTCGTACCACCTAAGAAACCGTGGAATGATATTCCCTTTAAATACCAACGAACAACGGTTGCCCATGGTTTCAAAGTGGTGCAGGATTTTGTCCACCCACAGTATTGGTGCGAAGGCGGAGGTGGTGTTGGTTTCTATGGAGCCCCTTGGTTCCCCTTGAAACCAGCCTGAACAGGGTGCCTTGAAAATCAACACACCATTGTGAGCCGGTGAGATCGCCGTAAAGTGGCACTGAGCCAAAGCCCGCAAATGTGAAGTCAAACCTTGCCCTTGCCTCTATCTAAGTCAGTACTCACCCCAACGTTGGCAAGTTGCTATGGTGGAATCCAGGAGTCCAAGTGGTTGGACCCTTGTACAGGCTTGATTTGACACAGGTCACAAGGCCCGAGGACGCCGAGGACCCAACGCGTTCCAACAACTTCTTCGGCTTCTTCTCCTTGACCATGGCATTGGTCGCAAGGTCTGCTAGTGATTCATGTCGGCCTCGAATGAAGCGTGGACATGTGGCAACATGCTTGAATTCTATATTCAGTGATTCGTCCTGAGCCAAACTCCCTACGAAAGGAGCCTTCATGTGTGAAAACGGTGGCAACTCCCTGTGAGGTCCCACTTTCATTTGGTCGGCTGTCATGGAAACTTCAACACACAAACAGCAGCAGCTGTTTGACCAAGCTGTTTCCCTTGGGAGTTTTCGACGAAGTTCGTAAGTGGCTGCAACCTATACAACCTACTCGCAACAGGGTCAAGTCTATTTGGGGTATTCGAGTTTGGATCAAGTCCTCTAAACCTTTGTGACTGGCTGGTGCTTGGACCCCCATTTGCTTTGCCGAATTGCCTTCGTGTGGAACAGCAACATCTTAAGAGATCTCATTCCTGAAGAAGGGAAGCCAGTGGCCAGGGGAACAGCCGCCAGCGGAATGAACATGTGGCGTTTCTCGCGGGACTGGAGCCAGAGGCAGCGCATGTACGAAAAATGGGTGCTCGTTGTCAAGTACGAGATGTTTCTCGAAGGGCTCCGCTCAAAAATCATCCGAAAAGGGGGGGTCTCTGATTTTGAGAAACACGCACCCACACACACACACACACACACACATCAGAATGGCAAAGTTGCCACATTTGACACTGTCCAGGGTAGCAGCAAGCGAAGGAACCACATGGCGTCTTAACGGTTCAAAGAAATGCAGCCTCCAAATGAAGTGTCTTCCTGTGTGGGGGGAACGCAGCTTTCTGGTTGGGTTGGGACCCGGCTTCACAATCACGGCTTTTCCAAATCAAGCAGTGGTACACAATGGGCCCCTCACAACAGTCACAATACCAGCAGGAGTCCAGATCAAAACCTGGCATGAAAGCAGTCGACAGTCTACCCAAAATCAGTGGTCAAGAATCAAGAAGGCAAGGGGACGTCCCCAATTCTGATTTTATTCATCATCTGCCCATTCGGTCTTAATTCTGGCTGGCTGACAGGTGCAGACAGAAGGCAAAGCTGTGATGTTGGTCAAATCTGAAAGCAACCAAGGACAAAGTGCACCTTCCTATAATTAATCCACCGAGAAAGAAAAAACAAACAGGAGGTCCACCATCTTGGCAAGACTTTGGCGCCTGATTTCCGGTCGTGTGGGTCTGTAATTAGGACCTGGTTGGGGCGTTCCACCATTTGGGGATACTTCCCTTCAACAGGAAGAAACAATACTTCAGAAAGGGTGTTTTCCCGTAAGTGGGTTGTACCCCTGGTTTTCAAGCATGTACCTCCGAAGAGGGTCACAACTAGGGTTACTACGTAGCAGGTATTTGAGCGTGCCTTTTTGAGGGTTGGTTTACATGTGAACACAAGGGGACAACCGGCGTTTTGGTATTTTGACGCATGCCCACTTCGGTGCAGAAGCCGATCTTTTCCTGAAGTCCCAGCACAGCTGCAGCTTTTTAACTCGCTAAGCATGGATCTGGGCGACACAAACGGACCGCCAAACTGGGTTTGACATGTCGAGTTGACCCCGAGCATGCGAAACCGTTTGCTAGCGCCAGCAACTTTCATTTGCCGAAAGAAAAAGGTCGTTTGAGGGTGGAACCAAGGGCAATCAAGTAAGCAGGGTCCTCTTTACTAGGATCACGATTGTGTCAACCCCACATGCGACCCTTACTTCACGCCAAGATTGGCATGCAAGACAGCTGCCTTTGGCAGGCTCTCGGATTGAGAACTTGAAATTCTGAAAACGAGATGCCCAAACAGGGGCAGTCCAGTGCTGCCGAATCCTTTAGGGATCAAGCTTGTCACACACTCTTGCCTCAGACCTCCGTGGCCTTGGAAAAAAAGGGGTTTGATCTTTCTGCTATAGTTGACTTCAAGGTGAAACCCCTACAAAAACAGAAAAAGAAGAACCAAGGGCACCACCGGAGGTCCGGGTTTCCAAGAATCTTGCAAGTGGGCAGAAGGTTTAGAAGATGATGGTGGTCTTCCACAACCATCTTGATTATTGGCGCGAGATTGCCTCCCAGAGGAAACCCTGGGCCCTTACTCTTGCAGATTCACATGGAACCTGTCAATCCGTGGTCCATGGAGGCATTTGCATCTCCTGTTGGGTAAAGCACCTTTTTGGGGTTCCTTCCGTTTCTCTGCAAGGGATGCGCATAGGGCGGTCCAGGGGCGCCACCGCGAGCGAGCGAGATTTGAAGGAAGCCAATTACATTTCGAAGGAGGTCAAAGCCCCTAGGTTCTCCGAAGCTGTGCCCCAAGACCTCTCATTTAGCGCTGCGGCAGAATCGCTCGGAGAACCAAAGAGGTTTGGTCCTTAGAGGACATGAGCCACGGTCAAAATCTCATCTGCCCCAATGACATTGGATTTTGTCGAGTATTCTCCAAATTCTCCGACTTCCTGGTGGAACTCCTGGCCCGAAAGTCATCCCTAGTCATTCCCATGAGTGTACTAATATTGACCGCTGCGCACATGTACCCAGTCCAAACGGGGTCCAGAGAATGCCTTCAAGGCTTCCCAGACGAGCGTCTCTCCCGAACCACGGGCCCCGCTTTTCCAAAAACGGGCGGAAAATGGCTGGTTCCAAAACACTCCTTTTCAAGACCGTTCAAGGGCGAGCCCGGCTCAAAGAGCAACCCGAGCTTGTCTTGGGGAAGAAAAAGCAGACATGGGATGCTCCTTGAGTTGGACACAGGCAGCTCGTGTTGAGCTCCTTCTCTGCGCGCCAAAAAAACCGAGGGCCTTTCTTGAGCCGTGATTTCACCTCAGAGCTTGAGATTCCGAAACGATTCCAAACTGGAATCGTTCAGCTTTGCCCCCCGGTTGAACATGTTTCTCTGTTTACCCACCAAGGAAAACCATGCATGATGATTGATTGCTTCAAAAGAAAACAGAGGCCCTCTCCACTTGGCCCGAATCTAGGGTACACAGAAAATGATACGCTCTTCTCTTTCATTCATATTCAGTCAACCCTAAAATATCGAACAGATTTGGAGGAGACCCCTCTTAATGTCTTGATGGATGACCAGGACCCCCTATTTTCAACCCGGGGATGCAACTCACAGGGTCGCCCGCCTCTCAGCGTAGCGCACCAGCACACACAGGGACCCACCACCGATGATGGGCCTGGGACGGGCCGGGCCCTGGCCCCCACGGAGTCAGGCACGTGGTTTGCATTGGCCTGGGGATGAACCGGCTCTTGTAGAAGGCAAATGGGGAGCCATCCCTAACCTCCAAACCAATCCAAATCACCAGTTGAGGGAAAAAAGCAGAAGAACAAGCAATGCTAGGGCTGCCAGACGAGTCTTTTCATTGGTAAGCACATTTGGCATATCCTCGACTGCCAAATTTCATGGGTCAGGACAGTTCGTTCGGGATTTGGGTTTTTTACGGCCCTAAAAAATAATTATGGTTTTTTACTCAAACTTAAGGATTTGCCAAAACCAAAAAAAGAAAAGCCCAGATTTTGCCGCAAATCTCAAAGTGTACTATTGATGCCAGTTTCCTCGACACAAGAATCATTTTGCTTGCTTCCCAGGGGACCCCGCCGTTTCTGCGCGCTAAGCCTTAGGGGTAAGACAGCTTGACGCGCCTACTGAAAGGGGTTTGGGGTCGTCTAAACCGAAATGAGTCTTGGCCGCCAAGAGGAAAGGGCTTGAACTGTTTTTTCGGGAATAACTTCACTATGAAGCCGCCTCTTCCGTCCGAGCAAAGTGCGTTGTTCTTGAGCCCACATTCTGCTCGCATTTTGGCTAGATTCTGGGCTTGCAATTGCAAGTGTTCACAAAGAAAGCAGTGACCTGCAACAAATCCGACATGGGCACATGTTTTGGGTTTTGGCCACACACTACACAATACGGAGCAGAACTGTTTTTCTTGGTAGGCGTTTCTCAGAGGCCCCAGGTTCCCCGTGAACCAACTCCGAACAAACTCCGAACAAACTCCGAGCGAACTCCGAACTCCGAACGAACTCCGAACGAACTCCGGACAAGCTCCGAACGAACTCCGAACAAACTCCGGGCAAGCTCGGCACAAACTCCGAACAAGCGACCAAGCTCCGAGCGAACTTTGTCATTGGTTGATTTCCGAACAAACCCCCGAGCCAACTCCGAACACACTTTGGCCATAAGCATGTTCTTGAGCCTAAGTATTTTGGTGGTCAAACTGTTTTTGTTGCCTTTTTTCGGGCTTACCAAAAAAGGCCAAGTGATTACAGGGGCCAGTTTCAACAAGTGGCCTGGGAAGGCGTTCAGGGCCGGATTTGTAGGACTTCAGAGCTGCGGAGGGCTAAAATCGCTACCGGGGTGATCACGCAGCTTGGTTGACGCTGAGGCTCGCTGATGAAGCTGAAACAAAGCTTAATCTTTTTGATCAAGGCGTAATCCGGGAAAAAAAACCTTATTCCAAAAAAAGAGTTTAAGTTCAACACCGGTGTTGAACTTAAGGGTTTGCCCGATTTGTGTAGTGGCTTGCCCGATTTTGGTCGTATGAAATAGCTGTTTTTTGCATGAAAAACCTGGATTAAGCATGTTTCAATGTTTTCTGTTGCCCTGGTAACACTGAATTTGCACGAACAACACATCAACAAGCTGTAATTCCAGTGTTTTTGTACGACCAAAACCCAAAAAGTTCAACACCGAAAACAAAAGTAAGCTCCAAGAAAAAACTTAAGGCCAAAGTTTGTTCGGAGTTCGTTCGGAGTTCGTCCGGGGCAAGAATTAAGCCCCGAGCAAAATAATAAGCAAAAATCACAGCCTGAAAAAAACAACGAGCAACAAAACAAAGCAAAGCTGAAAAACTGAAACTCAAGGCCGAAACACACAAATCAGCTCCCCCGAAGAAAAATATGGCCAAAGTTTGTCTGGCGCTTGTCCGGGAAGTAAATCCATCCCGAAACATACATAACAGGAAAATCAAGTGACCAAAAGAACTAATTTCAACAAGTGGCCTGAGAACATGTTTGTTTGCCTCAAAAAACACCTTCCCAGGCCACTTGTTGAAACTGGCCCCTGTAATCACTTGGCCTCTTTTGGTAAGCCCGAAAAAAGCAAAAAAAACAGCTTGGCCACCAAAATACTTAGGCTCAAAAACCATACTTATGGCCAAAGTGTGTTCGGAGTTGGCTCGGGAACTATGCCAAAATTCGCTCGGAACTTGTTCGCTTGTTCGGAGTTTGTTCGGAGTTTGTCCGGAGTTTGTTCGGAGTTTGTCCGGAGTTTGTTCGGAGTTTGTTCGGAGTTCGTTCGGAGTTTGTTCGGAGTTCGTTCGGAGTTTGTTCAGAGTTCGTTCGGAGTTCGTTCGGAGTTCGTTCGGAGTTTGTTTGGAGTTTGTTTGTTCGGAGCTTGAAGCTGGGGCCTCTGAGAAACGCCTACTAAGAAAAAACACGTTCTGCTCCGCATTCTGTAGTGTGTGGCCAAAAACCTAAAACATGTGCCCATGCAGGATTTGTTGCAGATCACTGCTTTCTTTGTGAAAACTCGCAATTGCCGCAAACGCAAGCCCCATCTGCCAAAATACGAGCAGAATTTGGGCTCCAACACAACGCATGTTGCTCGTACAGAAGAGGCGGTTTCATAGTTAAGTTTTTCCCGGAAAACAGTTCAAGCCCTTTCCTCTTGGCGGCCAAGACTCATTCCTGCTTAGATGACCCCAAACTCCTTTCAGCATGCGCATCAAGCTGCCTTACCCTTAAGTGTTTTTTGGTGTTGAACCGAATTCCCCACGCAAATTGGCATCCTCGACCGTATACCCGGTAAGGACCTTCCTGAGCACACGCGTGCTTACCCACCTGTTTGCAGGCCTCGATCAACATCAGCTCCGTTTTCCTAGCGCCAGGGCCCAGGCTGAAGCTCCTTTTCGCTGCCTAGGCGGGAGGCACAAGCGGCTCCAAAATCGTAAAATATTGTAGATAGAAGAAATCCTGATCCACCTCAGAAACCCTGGAATGACGATTCCAGCAAATGATGGTGTGCCATGGTTTCCAAGTGGTGCAGGATTTCCACACTATGTATCCGGAGGGCCATGCTAATTAGGGTTTACGGGGGCTTTCTGGGATTAACACAGTCTTCCGGATGAATCCGAGGTTGACATTACTCACGTATTTCAGGGTCGCTCCCTTCGGCACAAGGAAACCGTTTGCTAATCAATCGAACACCTGTTAGGTCTTGATCATCGTTTAGAGGCTCGGAGCATGTAGAGTGTGTATCCAGCCAAAAAGCCAAAAGGGTACTAGTGTTCAGAGACGTCCCAATAATCATGTTGAGAACCCTAAATGCGGGCGCGCTTTTACAGTAGAAGAAGGTAAAGGCTACTGCGTTGTTGCCGCACAAGCGTGGATCCTGTACCTTGCAGGCCGTGATCCACGCTTGGCAGGTGGGTAGGCTCATGTTCTGCGAGTGGCTCGTTAAGGCACCCCCAAATCAATTGACATTCAGTATTCATAATGCGATCGATTGAAGCAGTGAACGGTTGTTGCCTCCAAGACCCATGCTTGAAAATGGGTGTCTCAAATCTGGCCCTCCCCCAAAAACACACACACACACAGAATGGTGGCGTCCCTTTCCAACCAACCAAGCGAAACGCAACCTTTGTGTGCCACACTCTGCCCTCCAATTGGCTGGGCCCCAAGCCGATGTCCAGCAGTTCGGACACCTCCGAGATGAGCCGAGTGTCCTCGAGATGGGGTCCCCCAAGGCTTCAAGGCCCATGCCAACCTCTCCCAGGCACCCAGACCCCCCTTCCGGCCATTTAAAAAACCTCCAAGTTCGTGGACTTGAATCCCGGCCGAAATTTGAGGTGGGGTGCCCTATTAAAAAAACACACACCCCCTCTAGGAACCCCTCCAAGAATCCAAGGTTTTTGTCAGGACTCCAGGATTGCCAGTGGATGGACAAAATTCGTGTCAGGCACCAGTTGCCAGCGGGGCGATTATCCCAGTAAACATATGCGGTACCACTTCTCAGTTTGGGTTTTGCTGCCAAAAAAGTGATCGGGCAAAAGGAAACCCTGAACCGGTTGTTGCTCAAAGGCCACTCATCAACTGTGTCACTAATTTCAAAGGAGAGATGATTGAAAGGCAACTACTTCACCACTTGCAAAGGAGAGATGCTTAAAAGGTGAAAGCTTCAAAGGGGCCCAACAATCATGTTTGGCGGGGACATATAAAGCTCTGTCTGAAAGACGCCAATTCTTCAAAAGTAGAAATTGGATCCTACCCTGGTCTTTGGATCAAAGAGCGGTGTCACTTTCACTAACATGGAAGCTGGCTAAGCAGCGGGCGGCGGTGAGTTCGGAAGACGGTTCTCCTCTAAAAGGAGTGTAGAGCCCAAGGTTCCCTTTGGCTCACGAAAGTCCGAATGAGTTGCTTCATACTTCAACCTGAACTCAGTTCCATGACGACGGGTGATGGGAACCAGGAATCAATCAAACTTCTGGTTGACTACACCCAAAACAGAACCAAAGACCTCCCCAGGGACCTGCAAAGGAGTTGGGTTGCTGCCAATCCCCACAAAAAGGGCTGCCACTGAGGGATGAGCATATATGTCATATATGAGCATGTCTGTTTCTTGCTGCGCCCGCCCCTTTCATCCCATGCCGGCAACCGAAATGGGTCCGCCATGCCATCTGCGCGGGCCAGAGGCACCTCGGTGGGGAGAAACGCGGGGGAGAGACCCGATGGGGCCTTTCCAATGGGTGTGGCTCAAAATTCAGCCAGGGTTCAAGTTTTTGTCTTTGGTTCCATTTACCAAGGGGGCCATTTGGGTACATGTTTTGAGCCACAGCCAAATAGCAACCAAGACGAATGGGCGCTTCTCAAAATTGGGTGGTTGCGTGCGTTGTTTGGCTCCAATAGGAGTGTCCAATCTTGAGACAGGATCACATACGCTTCCACCCACATGGAACCCATGGTCCCAAACATGAAAGATGTTCCTTTCAAAGGGGCCCTTTGTCAGATTGCAGCTTTGTGGGCGGGTAGATTCAGGGATCCAATCACCCGCCCTAAGACCGGCCGTCGTTGGCTGCGTGATTGGCCGTATCTTGCCATGTGAACTTCGTAAGGGCTGGCAAAGGGGAAGATATGCAGAATTCGGCAACTCTGGTGAAGCGAATTGAAAGGGGGCCAATCCAATTGTCTACCCTTAGGTGTTGCTTCTTAGTGAACAGCTCGGAGCAAACATGTTTGTCTTCAAATGGGGAGACCCTGAAGCTTCCCCATTTTCCTCTCCCTTCGCTGCGCGACGCCCTCAACCACCTTCAAACGCTTCCTTTTCCCGGCTTTGTTGCGCTCCTTTCTTTTTGGCCCCTATGCCAAACCCCTTGTGGGTCCTTTTTAAGGATCTCTGGGTTAACTTCCTACTGAGAACCAGCAGCCCATTTCGAGCATGCTTCTCTTTTTCGCTCACAAGCACTTGCGGTGCACAATGGAGGGCCCACTTTCGTCGTACTCGGCCCGCGAGATCCACATCTGCTGGAAGGTGCTGAGGGAGGTCAGGATCGAGCCCCCGATCCTGGGGGTTGACTGATCCAACTAAAGCGTGTTGCCGCTTTAAACAGAAAATGCAGACAGCCAGGGAAAAGAAAACAAAAAACAGAGGGGGGGCAAGTAGGTCAAGTCTGACAATGTCGAAAGCCATCGTTTTTGGATCAACCACACAGAAATTGCGTAAATGGCAAGAGTGAAAAACTGGTAATAGAACAGGCAATGCCCAAAAATGAAAAAACAAAAAGCCGACTGAATCTGGCAACTACGAACAGGGAGAGGCAATCCCTTCTTTCTACTCACTGAAACAATCTCCTTTTGGTGTCCCTTTACGTCGACCAGGGTATTGTTGTTTAAGCAAAAATCGTGCCCCACCCAGATCAAAAAAGGTAGGCTAGGTCTGGCCATGTATCCAGGCGCTGTACTTCCGCTCAGGCGGGCACAGAACCTTGACCTGGCGTTAGAAACGGCCCCGCCGGACTCAGCACCGGCTGGTGCGTCAGAATTGGGGACCTTCGGTGGGCTTGCTGTACTTGGAGGATTTTCAGCTCACCAAACATTTGAAGGGTTGGTACGCCCTTCTGACTTCAATTCATGGCATTTTGATTGGAAGCCCCTTTTTGGGTATTTATAGCCATGGTTGCAAGGCGACCAACAAAGTTGCCTCTCCCGATTTTCCCATGGTCACCTCGAGGGGAGGGTGGGCGGGCGGTGAGGGGTGGGAGGGTGAGTGGGGTGGGCAGGTTGGGTGATGGAAAGCCCAGGATTCAAAGTGAGTTTCCTTGTGTGATGCTTCAAGGGAAAATATGGACAGCCCCTGGACACCTTCTCTACTTTTCTTGCAACTGGGATCCACTGGGTTTGTTTGCAGCTGGTGCCCTTTTTGGGGTTGGAAACCACAAAATTTGGGTGGAGGGCCCCATTTTGAGACAACACCAGTGTATTGATGGAACATCATTCTCGGAAAATGGGCCTAAAAGCCCACCCATGTCCCGACCATAGCCAAAAGACCACCCTTTGATTCCAGGAGACACACAAGCTGGGCCCATTTTCCAGCAACCCGCTGCTCACCAAGTGAAGCTTCTTTTCTTGGGCGCCTCCGTGCTGCTGAAACTAAAAGAGCATCGCAAAAGACGATGTGAGAACAATCAAAGAGCAATAAACTTCTAGTTATCCCTATGTGCAACGGATCAAATTGTCATTTTCAAACAAAAAAACACCTTTAAGCCTGTCACGCGTTCCTAACGCCCAAACCGTTTTTTGGGGAAATTGCCTCCGTGCTGGGAGGCGCCAGGCTGGCCAGCTCCATCTGCAGGCGCCGCTCGAGGCCCGGGAACAAGCTGCCGCCCCCCGCCAGCACCACGTTGCCGTAGAGCTCCCTGCCTTGGTTGCGGGAAACCTAAAGCCCATGTTCTTAAAAAAAAAAAAAAAATGGTAATGTTGTCCAGCGGACATGGAAAAACGTTCAAACCTGAGCAGGGGGTTGCACAAACCTTTGTTGGTATGAGTTTAGTCACGTATGGTGTGTGTGTGTGTGTGCGTATGCGTTGTGCGCGTGTGGTTTGTGAGCTGGTACCCTTTTCAACCTGGGGTTCAAAGGGAACCAAAAGGACATCCAACATTCGCTGTTTTTAACACAAACCCATTTTGAGACAGCGCACATGTGAAAGCCCTTGTGGGTAAGGACGATGGTTCCCTCCCACATACAACAACTGAGTTTGTTGATCCTTTGTTCAAATGTCTGTAAACTTTAGTGATGACTGTGTGATAAATCCCTTCTACCCAAAAGGGAAACCCAAACGGGTTGAAAGGTCGACTCGCTTTGGACAACTCAGAACTTTTGGTGAAACACTGCACCAGGCAATATAGGCTGAATTCCCCCCTTTTTTACCCTTTGGTAGTGGCTTGGGGATGATTAGTGGGTCGCTTAAAGTGGTCGCATGAAGGTCGCATAAACGCTAAAAGTCTACTAGGAACCGCCAAGCCGCGGATGTCCACGTTGCAGCGCTTGATGCACTGCCAGGCCAAATCCTGGATTTCAGACCCCCGGCTTCCCCACCCCGAGAGCTACGTGAGCCAACAACATGCCGGCGCTTGAATCCCTGCCCTGCCGCTGGCTGCCCACTGCCCACTCCCCCCTGCCAAAGGAACACGCGCAAATTTCGCAGACCTTTGGCAAGTACAGTATAACTATCTCTCCCAAATGCTTGTTGGTCATCCTTTCGCCAGCCCTGGCAGCCCCAAACTTAACAACTCCAAGTGTGACAGCCTCGGCCCCAGTGGCCCGAACACTCGCTGCCAGGCTGGCGAAAGAAAGGCCCCACCCAAAATCGATCTTCAGCACTAACCGATTTTCAGCACAAGGGGAGGCAGGGGGCCTTCATATCTTGCAAGGCAGGCAGCGGAAAACCACCCCCCGAAACTATCGGGTATTTCCTCCACCCCACCCCCCTCCAACAAGAACACAAAAAACAACATGGTGGCTTTGAAGATAATGTGCGTTCTCGCTTCTGGGCTACCATAGAAACTAAGACGCAACGCGACAGCCTGAGGCTTCGCTGTGTTGGGCCGGGGTGCGGTAAGGCCCGCCGAGTCTTTCCCCAGCAAGGACGGCTGGAAGAGCGCCTGGTTGAGCGTCCGAAGCAAGGACTCGGAATAGGTTTGGGGTAGGTTGGCGCAGGGTTGGTGTGGTTCAGGGTGGTGTAGGGTGGGCGTGGGGTGGGGTGGGCTTAGGGTGGGCTTAGGGTGGGCTTGGGGTGGGCTTTGGGTGGGCTTGGGGTGGGCGTAGGGTTCCGCTCTGTCATGCCAATTGCTTGGCCAGACTGCTCGATCCCCCTGCGAAAACAATAGCGATTTGGGCTGGCAAGTGAAAACGAAGGAAGCCCAGAAGGGCAATTTCAGTGAGGGCAAAAAGTCAGGCAAAAGTCTGCCTATGTGTGTCATATGCAGCCAGTAGATCCCAATTACCACCACAATAGACAACCAAACATTTTCCGCTAGGTTTTGAGGGGGTGGCTCTCTTGGCTACCTACAAAACCGTGTTGCAACACTTTAAGGCACCCAGCCCGGTTTGTCTCCGAAGGGAACCCCCTGCTTGGCTTCTGAGTTTGTTCTAAGCCCACCACGAGCCCGGGCCTCGGGGCACTTCACGCGCTCCTGCTCCAGCGTCACGATGCCCCCGTCCGGCAGCTCAAAGGGCCTGCGCACCGTCTCCAGCCGCGCGCGCGGGAAGTCCTCCGCCACGTAGCAGATCTTCTCCTCGCGTTGCGGCCATTTGCCCGGGCCTCCCCAAAGTGATATCCTCAACGGCGGATGTGCGTGAGTTGCTGCCCCCTTTTCATTCAGAAAGCCCTCCGGTGCCCCGCAAATCCTCAAAAAATGGATAAGTTGGATAAGTCTTTGGGGGGTGCATGTTAGTCTGCAGGGGAGGGAGGTAAGAGCCATGAGGGATGTCTCAAACTTGGGCAGCCAACAAAAAATGGGTGGCCGGCTGCCCTCAAAAAAACAAACACGGGCATTCAGACATCCCCAAGGTCGGGCTCGAAAAAGGCAGAGGTAAGCGCGCCCGACCAATCTGCACTAACTACCATAAATGGGTTTCTGTTTTGCTAGGGCACTCTTGTCAGGCAGGTTTTTCTGGAAGACAACAGGAAAACTAGGGGATTCTCTTATTCTAAGACATACGCATACAACCAACCTGGACTACGGGATCTCCAAGACAACCTTCATCATGGATGAGATCGCTCGCCTTACCCCCGATCGGTGAGACCGAAATGAAGTCCCCCCGTTCCTCACCCCAGAGCGTAAGAACACACGGTGGCCAAACGATGTTCCTTTCAAAGCAGGGTCACTAAGAACCAACGAACAGAATCAGAGAAATAGTAGTCTGGAAAAAATATTGCAATTCACCAATCAAAAATAAGGAATCCCTAAAAATCAACTTCCAGCATGGGTGACATAGTGACGTAAATACCCTAAACAAACTTGTTGCCACAAAAATCGACCACAACCCCTCGCCCCGCCCCACCCCCCCACACCTCCCACCCACCCCACACCTCCCCCCCACCCCACACCTCCCCCACCCCACCCCACCCACCCACCAGCGCCTTGATGTCCCGCACCACGTTCAGCTCCGTGGCGAAGAAGGCGATGCCCAGCTGCGCCAGGAGGCTGGCCTCCCGCTGCCCCTCCCCTCCCCCCCTCCACCCATCCGTTTTTCCGGCCACGCTGGCAGCTGTTGCTCCATCCTACTGTGGATGGACAAAATCCATTTCGCACCACCTAAGAAACCCTGGAATGATGATCCTCCTGCAAATACCAACAAATAATAGCTGTCCATAATTTCACAGTGGTGCAGGATTTCTCCACCCACAGTATGTTCTCTAAGAGGAGGGTTCAGTGACCAAGACGTGGGCATAATGATGACACAGCCGCAAAAGGAAACGGAAAATGATGAGAATCCCTGTCGGATCATTCGGGTACCAAAAGGAAATCCCTGCCATTTTAGGGGGCCGAATCCTATTTTGAGAAACACCCAGTCGGGATTGTCCAATCTGGGAGGGTGAAACAAGCCCCCCCTCTTTTTTGCTTCGGTGGCTTTCCTGTGAGTGGCGTCCCTTGTTCAAACTGCTTAGGTATTCAAGCAACTCACTAGCAAGTAGGGGATAACTAAGGCCTTGCTTCATCTCTGAAGTGCGAGTTCCCCTGTTCAACCAAGTTCCCTCTTTTGCCCCTTGTTTGGGTGGGCTTCCCTTTTGGGCGGGTAATTTGTACTGCGTATCCGGATCGCCTTTGGCCCCAAAACGAACGCTTCAGCGATCCGGAACATTCATGCACACCGCTGAAGAAGCAACTTGCGTCTGAACATTTTTTAGCTGAAGGTCATGCATGGCCTTCTAGGTGGGCGGTTCATATTGAACACGGCAGGCCATCACCACTGGAACAGGTCGGAAAATTGCCAGTTGTTCGGTTGCGCACTAGAAAGAGGAAAAATGTAAACATGTAACCAAAAACCGAAGACGGGTTCAACGGGGGTGCTCATGCACCTCAAAAGTGAAGAAACCCCTCTAAAATGAAATACCTCCTCCCGTTCATCAACCAGGCTGATTGAGAGTGGTTCGCAACCAACGTCACCCGAGGAGGACACGAGGGACAAGTTTGAAATCACCTCTGTTTCTGAACGAACCGGTCCTGCAATGAAACCTTCCAGCAGCACATTTTCGACGCGCATTGCTGCAATTGATCAACTATATATGAAGGGATAGCATACTTCAGGTGATTGTGCTTGTACAATATCTCTCTTGGACTCTCGGTGGTCTGAGGGTTGCCATGGCAAAGCCTTTGAAGCGTCTCAAGCGTTGACCATTTCCTGGACCCCCCCCAGTCGGAACGCTCGGTCGTGCGTTTGCTCCGAGTGGCCAGGTAGTCCGTGAGGTCTTTGCCCCCGAAGTCTGCCCGCGTGATGGCATGGGGCAAAGTCGTGCCCTCGTAGATGGGCACCCCGTGCATCACCTTGAGGGGTGCAAAAGAAAGAGTCCTTCCAAGATCCGTTGCCAAAAGTTTGGACATGTCATAAGTTCATCTAAACGCATGTAGAGACACAAAGACAATAATGGTATGGCCGGGAATCGTCCGATTCCGTGGTTGGAACGCAAAACCGCCCTCGACCGTCTCGCCAGCAGCCCTGCCTGATCCCCGCAGTCCACCACCACCCCCGTATTGCGGCCTGAGGTGTACAGGGACAGCACCGCCCCCGTGGTCACGTAGCACGCGGGGGCGTTGAAAGTATCGAACATCCTTGCAGCACTCGGCGGTGAAACGACGCAGCCCTCGGCAACGTTGACAGCATTCACAGCCCCTGGGGTAAGGAGCCGTGCGAAGCAAGGAATATATTTCTCGGCAAAGGAACACATCACTCCTTGGGGCGTGAAAAACTCGAGCACTGGGAGCAAAGATGCGCAAGGGATAAACGCAATCTTTAAGGAAAGAAACTAAGCACTAACGCCCTACAAACTCCGCCGGGTTAAAAAAGTGGTAAGAAAAGCATAAGACTCAGGGCAACAGGTAAACAAGGCATAAACAGCCTGCAAGCACCCATCTTTGTTCAAGGTGGCAGATTGACATCCATCATCTCCAGAAAAAAACAAGAAGAAAAAAACAGCAGATTGAAACTTAGTTCGGCCACGTAAGTAGGTATGTGTTTCGCACTATCGAAGGGAGCCCTGCTTATTTGATGCTTATGTTCACACTGTCTAAGCAAACATCAAACATGTCCTTTTGAAGAACACCCTATCTCCCTTTGAGAATACGCCTAGAGCACATGTCTTAAGAACGCTTGAACGGCTCCTTCAAACAAAAGGGTCTCACCAGAGGTCCCAAACCAACGTCGCTCGGTCCCATTCAGAGCCAAGTCTCATCTGGGTGAGGCGCTCCCGGTGTGCCTTCGGGTTCAAAGGCACCTCAGGCGGCCCAGAGAGCTTTCGATCGCAAAGAGTTGCCATTTTTTTGCAACATTTTGCAGTGCTTTCATGGTCTATTCACCGTTCTGTGACGGTCCCTTGTGCGCCCCCCCATCTGGATGCGGGTTTCCACAACTGCCTGCTCGGTACAGTCTCGCTTTCTGCTCGCAAGCTCGCACCCCTGGGGCATACGGGTATAGGGTTTGGGTTGGTTTAGGGTGGCATAGCGAATGGTTTAGAGTTGGTTTAGGATGGTTTAGTGCTTGTTTGGCGTGGGTTTAGGGTTGGTTTAGGGAGATTGAGTTGGTTTGATTTTGCTTATTGCTGGTTTGAGGGTTTGTTTAGGGTGGTTAGAGCAAGCTGATGGTGTCCAAACAATTTCTTTAGGGTGGCTATGTTTCGAGGGACTTAGGGCGCGCGAAAGGTTTGGTTTAAGGTTGGCTTACTTTAATTAGTGGTGGTCCAAAAGGCGTTTAGGTTGGGCGATTTGGATTCTTAGGGTTCGTGCAGGGCTGGGTTGAGATGTGCTTTTGTGCAAAGTGCGACAAACAAGGTGCTGGGTGTTGCTGGTCAAGCCACAAAACCGCCAAAAGCCACCGACAAATCGCAATAAGTGACAAAAGCCAAAAAAGCCCGCCAGGAGAGAAAAGAAGGGAACAACAATCAAATCTGAAAAAAATGCCCTTTGTTGGGTGAACATTGCAGGGCTTAGAAAAGCTCAAGCGCCAAGCCTTTTGGACCCGTTGCCCCCTTGCACACTGGGGAGGTGGCCATCTGAGAGGCTGGCAAGTCGAGTCTGGTACCTACCTGAAACTTTCCTCGCAGAAGGGGTGAGTGACCGGGTGTGAGATTCAAGCGGCTGGGGCCTTTGGTCACCATGGACCTTGGGATGGCAAAGGAAAGCACCCGTACCCGACTGCGGAAGGTTTGTGGGTGATTCACTCGCAACCTCCTCCTGAGCCCTTTGAGGGGACTGAACTTGTCGGTGTAACGATGTTCTTTGTCGTTGTAACATGTTCTTTGTCGTGGTTACAACCCTCTCTTTGCTTGCTTGTACCTTAACCTTGCCCCAAGCCCTTCTCAAGAAAAACAGACACCTCGAAACGGTCAATGTCGAGCTTTTTTTGAGTGCGTACTTCTTGAGGCTACCCTTTTCGGTTTGTCCAAGGGGAAGCCTTTGGGCTCCGCTTTCCCTGGTCTTTGGGGCAGGTCCGCTTTCCCTCTGGGCCTCAGTGAGTAGCACCGGGTGCTCCTCCGGCGCCATCTTCAGCTGATTCAGAAAGCAGTGCCGCCAGATCCGTTCCATGTCGTCCCAGTTCGTGACCACACCTCCGTCCGCATGGCGATTTTGGGCTGTCCGGAGCCGAAGTCAACCGATCAACAAGAAGGGCATCCTTCCTCTGGCCGATCGGATGTTACTTCAACCGACATAGCAAGCAGGTTATAAGGTTGAACCATGGATATAAATGTGGTTAGCCGCCTATAGCTATGGTTGCAACGCCCAGGGAGGTACTTGGCAACCAGTTGATTAATGCACGGTCGATTTGATTTGGGGGGGTCCAATTCAAGACGGAAACTTCCAACTTTAGGGGAAACAGCCACAGATGAATGCGGCAGATTGATGAATCCGGGGTCGAGATGCCACACACAAATGCCTGTGAAGGTTGGCTTTCAGTTTCTGGCACAGGTGCCCTGGCTTGCGGCTCCTACAGGCATGGTTGTGGGAAATGACCGTTTCCGTGATACGAACGTGGGCCATTATTATGGCCAATGTTTAAAGGGAACCCCCTAGTATCATAGAAAGTGGCCCAAAAACCAAATTTTCCACAACCCCACACCAAACGGTAAAATGGGTCTCCAGAACTCGAGGGGTCCAAGACCCCATTCCATTAGGGGTAGGGCATCAATAAGAGGTGTGGCACCAGCTAGGTTCAGTCGAGAAAACCTCTGTTGTACCAATTTCGGTAGGAGAGGTACACATGACTCCCGAAGAAGAATCCAAGTACGCTACCAACCCCAAAGCAGCTGAGCCCAAGTCTCCCAAACGCAGCTCGGCTTCCCGTTTGCCTTTTCAAGAAGGGCACGACTAGTTTTGGCATGTCTGTTTCAGTGGCCTGGACAAAAGCAAGAACGTCAAACCAAACGGAGCCTCAATTGAAAACTGGCCAAGCGAAGATGCTGTTCAGAGCATCTTAATAAGAGGCTTCAATATTGAATAAATGAGGCAAACAACTGGGCATTCAACAAAATGAGCCCATAGTCAGCTATGGCCGAATGAAACCCGGCTCAGAGTCGTTAGCGCCATCTCCAGATGTCAAAACTCGACCATGGTGTTCGGCAACTAGAGACTTCTTGCGAGGGCTTTTCATTCAGAGCCACAGCAAGAAGAGCCCTGGGACGATTTGGCCCTTGACTAGTCCCCATTAGACTGAACCGGTATGCGACTTACCTGACTCAAAGTAGACTTGCTTGACACAAAGGTCAAGCCAGGGCGAGGCCAAGCCCTTGTTTAAACATGCTTAAACCAGACTACTGTTTGAACAAACCGTGTTCTCAAACTCCTTTGGGTTCCTCGTTAAAGGGGGATAGCGTCACGGTTGCTTGAGCAAATGTTCAAATCATGTCACCTGTGTATTTTGGAAACATGGGCTTGTCTCCAACAGGACCCCTGAAAATAAGCAAAACTTCCTGCAACAAAACGCATCTAAGTGGGCAATTTTATACATTTGCCATACCCTCTGTGGACGTGGGCAAGTTGGAGAGTCTGCTGGCGATAGCGGGAAACTTCGAGCTGGTTTCATGCTGCGTGCCCCAAACAAATCATAAGATGGATGTCTTGTGCACCTCGCTCTCCCCCTCCGCGCCTCTGCAAATGGGCTGCTTCAGCGAGAGACCTCGCTTCTGGGCCTGTCCACCGCACGTTGCTCGTTTGACACCGAGCTCCTGTTCTTACATTTCAAAGGTTCCCAAAATCTGGGCCAGGATCCGGCCCCCTGATCAGAAGGGCAAAGTCAGGTGTATTAACACCACCCCCCCTCCCCTTCATGGATAATGCTGTACTCCAAAAATACACAGGCGATCTATGGTAGCCCGGCCGCTGGGTTGGGACCACGTGAATAATCCGGAATATGTACCTTTCTGGGCGGCGAGGGCTTGGAGGGACCTCATGGTCGCTGGTGTTAAAGTGGTTTCCGTCTTGCGGCGGCGAAGCCGCAAATTGAACAGTGTCTTTTCACAGTCCCTGGCATCAAATACAATTCGGGCCCCGACATTTTGCTTTTGCCAAACGCAAAACTGCCCCCAACGTGACAAATGGGACATGTGTCACGGTCTCTATAGGCAAATTAGCGAATCGCCGGGGTTTTGGTTCCTGAAATTTGGTGCTGTAAGTCCCTCACGCTTCCTGAATGAGTCATAATCAAAACCTGGTATTAAAGCTGTGCAACCTAACAGGTGAAGAAGCAGAAGGACGGTCTCACCTATTTATTGTTGGGACTATCCCCGACTCCCGGTTTGATTAAGGCCTGGAACACATGGGCTTGTCACAAAAAATACGCAGATGGATCCCCCAAAAAAGTGGCTTCCCATGCGCCCCTTCAAAGCAACCCCAAAAGTGGGTACACTTCCAAAATCCAACATATGCAGACAGAATGAGTGTTACGCTTTTTTGAAGGAACCCTTGCTTGGGTTGCTTCTGAAGAGAAACCAAAGGCAAACCATTGGTTTGGGGGGTCCCCTATTTTGAGACAGACCAGTCCCGTCGCCTCGGTGCCACAAAGAACGGGCTCCCCCGGCCCGGTGCGGCTGAGCATGCAGGGGAAGACCACCCTTGGCACATCTTCGCCGGCGAGGCCCGCCTTCAGGAAGCCTCGAATCGAAAGCCCCAGTCTGCAAGTAGAGTAGTGAGCCCCTGTTGGGCTAAAGGCAGAACAAAAAGACACCCATTCATGATTCCAGGTTTTCCCGGGGTTGCTGGAGATATCACCCGGGCTTGTTTGGAGACTTGTACAGTGCCTTGGAAGTGACCGCCCAGAACCCCCGGGTTTTGGCGATGGCTCCTTACGGACTCTCGGAACCCTTGAGAACCTGCAGAGCTGCCCCAACTGGCTACCCACAGTCGCTGGTGGCTCGAATTGTCATCTGAAACCCACAAAAGGTGGCATTTCCGATTCAAAACAAGAAAAAGGTGGGAACTGTCCCTTTGATCTGTTTGCAAGAAAAAGAGAAAGGGCTTCCACGACATGCAAAAAAGCATTGGAACCAAGTGACACCTGAAGAAGCGAGTTCAAATAAGGGCCATCCGACAACCAGCCCTTATCAAAGAGTCCCAATTGGCTCATGAAAGATGTTGCCCAAACTATGGCCCCTTTTTCAACACTGCCGCCTTCTGTCTGAGCCCCGTCACATATGGAAGGTCCTCGAGGGAGGGCTTGGTACTCCAAGGACACATTTGAGTGGCCCTCGAAACCCGGTGACGTTTGGTTCTGCTCTCCAAGTAAACCAAGTACCTACCAAAAATTGGCCACGATGCTCTCCGTCAAAACGTATGAGCCGGGGTCAAGATGAGCTTGTCCCCCCAAAAAGGACATGGACGAAGTGAGCCTCCTGGATTTTGTGGTTGAAATTTCGAGCTCGTCTCCCGATGTCCTCCCAAATGGACCATAGCCTGTTGCTAATTTTGACCGAACCTCACATGGGGATTCATTGCCAACCTCTCAGGATGATCCCTATCCAAGACTTATTCGAAAACGGTGGGGATTAATGACCACCAATCACAGTTTAGTGGGTTCCCCACTGAAATTGTAGACACGTGCGCTGATGTCTCCCTTCGCATTGCAGCTCGAGGAGCTGCTCCCATTGTCCACCACCAGCGCCGCATCCATCCATCCGCATCCAACGAATTGGAGCACTGCCGCTTGGCGCGGTCAGGTGGGTGGCTTGCAAATACGTCCTGTGTTATGTGTGTGTGGGCGTTGCACAGTCCCTCAGAATTACCAAATACATATGGGGCATGGAAGGGTGATGTGGCGGGGGACAAACATGTGCTCATATGATCACGACTTAACTTGGCTTTAAAATACAGCACCCCACAACCAATTAACCTGGATTGTGCAGTCCATTGTGGTAGAATTCTAGTATCTGGCTGTGGAATGTGATTGAACAACCCCTCCATGGCCGAAACTCCTTTTGTGGGCCTTCGATCTGGTTCCCTGAAGCGGAATCCTTATCCTGGCTGTCTAAATTCCATATCGAGAGGTTACCTGAAATCAGGATCTCCAAGTCGTGGGCCTTTGTTGCCCTGCAAAAATCGATCCACGCGCCATTTTTGTGCCTTGGTCGTGTAACACGCTGTTGCTTGAGATTGGTAGGGGTGCTTTCGCCGCTGGAGTACTGCCAGGGGGTCTCCCAAGAATGTTGATGCGGGGGGGTAGAGGGGCCCTTTTGGTGGAAGGGACACCAGCGTTCCTAGGCGGCCCCAGCTTAGGGCAGGTTAGTTTGATTAGTTGAGTTGGGTTACAGCCCCCGGCCCAACAAGCTCGTGGGGCTGGTACCTCGAGTCAGCGGTTAATCCTCATGGCGAGCGGCATGCGGCTAACCGCGGAAGCTCACCGAGATTCTGCGGTCAACATGAGACCAGCGGAGACATTTGGGTACCCTTTGCAGGTTGGGTTTTAAGGGACACCAAAAGGACAACTGCGATTTTGTTGGGGTCCCCTCATATTCATTTGGAGGTGTCAACTAAAACGGGGATCCCCTTTCGGACAACTTTGCCAAGGATTGAATTGGGTCGGAAAATGAACAAACGAGATTTGCCAGAGCAAAAGCAATGGGGAACTCACCTGAATTTATGTTGTAAGTCTCCCAACTTGAAGAAACCACGGGATATTCAAAGTGACAGGTCCCAATTTTGGGTTCCTACCCTTTGCTTCCCCCTCTAAGATGTGGCTAAAGGGCACTGCTCGGCTCGAAGGACAAGCTGAGCGCGCGTGCCCGCATGGCGTTCATCAGATACAGCAGGTCGCAGCGCTCAAGTTTGGCGAGGCTGGTGACCTACCGGGCACCTAGGAACTTGATAACTTCTGAAAAGGGAAAAGGTACCACCACCCACCCACCCCCTCGTTCCGGAACTTGAGTCGAAACCAGATCGTGCACATGCGCTGCCCCAGGACCTTCGTGGGATAGTTTCAGAGGCAATGCAAAAGGATAATTCCTCGTGTGGGAGGATCCTCGGGCATTGGCTTGGTTGCCATCCGCCTCTTAAGCATGCCTTGAGCACTATCAAACATATCCACCTTTCGATTTCCATTCGAAGGGTCCAAGGCCGGGGTGGCCTGTTTGCCCAAGCTTCGAATTAACCACTAAACAGAATCACAATGCAGATGGAACTCAAGAAGTCACTGGCGAGTGCTTCCATCTAGCTGGAAGCAAATCATGAGAATTCACCAAGCAAAATAAAATAAAATCCGGACCCCAGAAAGGAACCTGCAGCTTAACATCGCAACGGTTTTAGTCACGTTGCAGTTTGTCCACGAATCTGTGTGGTGGTCAACCAAAATCCAGGACCCTCTATCGGATAGTGTTTGAAGACAAAACCCCGCCGCCAGCTCACTCCCCTCTGCGGGTGAAACCCGGATCTGGCCGTAGTGGTGTCTGAAGAGGAAACCCCACCCAACCCCTGCCCCACAAAAAAAGAGAACACAGAAACGGCACCCTGTAGTAAAAAAATACCAGGGCCGGCTTCGAACAATCCAAAAAGGCTGCCCTCACAACCAAAACAAACCCACAAACAGTTGGGGAAAAAAAACACAAAAACGAAAACCAAAAACGCTCCTCGCCTTCTGGTCCTCCGGGCTCTTGAACGGCCCCTCCTGGCCTTTCGCCTTGCGGAGCACGCGGGAGCTTGTGCCGTTCGAGGGCTTGTCCCGTTCTCAGGTTGGTTTAAAGGGACGCCGAAAGGACCACCGCCAGATTTTGCCAGGGGCCCCTATTTGAGCACATGCCTGATTCAGCCGATCTACGATCAACGGTCCACAAACACTGTGTACAAGTTCGGGTTCCATACCTCTGGGAAGCCGGAATCCACCCTTTGGAGTGGTTTTAGGCCATTCCAGGGAAGCCGTCCCCTTTGCTGGGGCTTTCCATACCCCAGTTGATCGATCACCCTGCGGAAAAGGAATTGAGGATCGGGGCAGGGCCATGTTTGCATCCACGCAGAAGCGTCCCAAAGCTTGCAATAAAGTCTGCAAACCAGTCCGGCAAACAACGGAAAGCGCCTGCCACGGCATGCGATGGCTTTCCCTTGTTTTCCCTTGCTTTCCCTTGCCTTCCTTCGCTTGACCTTGCTTTTTCCCTTGCGTTGCCTTGCTTTCCCTTGCTTTCCCTTTCCGTTGCTTTCCCATTTCCTTGCTTTCCCTTGCTGTCCCTTGCTTTCCTTTGCTTTGCCTTGCTTTGCCCGTGCTTTTGCTTGCTTTGCCTTGCTGTCCCTTCCTTTCCCTTGTTTTCGCTTGCTTTCCCTTGCTGTCCCTTGCTTTGCCCGTGCTTTTGCTTGCTTTGCCTTGCTGCCCCTTGCTTTACCTTGTTTTCCCTTGCTTCCCTTGCCTTGCTGTCCCTTGCTTTCCCTTGTTTTCCCTTGTTTTATTTGTGTTCCCTTGCTGTCCCTTGCTTTCCTTTGCTTTGCCTTTCTGTGCCCGTGCTTTTGCTTGCTTTGCCTTGCTGTGTTGCTGTCTCTTGCTTTCCCTTGCTTTGCCTTGCTTTGCCCGTGCTTTTGCTTGCTTTGCCTTGCTGTCCCTTCCTTTCCCTTGTGTTCCTTTGCTTTGCGTTGCTTTGCCCATGCTTTTGCTTTCTTTGCCCTGCTATCCCTTGCTTTCACTTGTTTTCCCTTTCACTTGCTTTCCCTTGCTTTCCCTTGCCTTCCTTTGCTTTGCCTTGCTTTGCCCGTGCTTTTGCTTGCTTTGCCTTGCTCTCCCTTGTTTTCCCTTGCTTTCCCTTGCCTTCCCTGGCTGTCCCTTGCTTTCGTTTGCTTGTCCCTGCTTTCCCTTTCCCTTTCTTTCCCTTGCTTTGCCCGTGCTTTTGCTTGCTTTGCCTTGCTCTCCCTTGTTTTCCCTTGCTTTCCCTTGCTGTCCCTTGCTTTCCTTTGCTTGTCTTTGCTTTCCCTTGTTTTCCCTTTCCCTTGCTGTCCCTTGTGTTCCTTTGCTTTGCCTTGCTTTGCCCGTGCTTTTGCTTGCTTTGCCTTGCTCTCCCTTGTTTTCCATTGCTTTCCCTTGCCTTCCCATGCTTCCCTTTGATTGTCCTTGCTTTCCCTTTCCCTTGCTTTCCCTTGCTGTCCCTTTCTTTCCCTTGGTTTCCCTTGCTTTCCTTTGCTGTCCCTTGCGGTCCTTTGCTTTCCTTTGCTTGTCCTTGCTTTCCTTTGCGTTGCCTTGCTTTCCATTGCTTTCCCTTTCCCTTGCTTTCCCCTGATTTCCCTTGCAGTCCCTTGCTTGCTGTCCCTTGCTTTCCTTTGCTTTTTTGCTTTGCCTGTGCTTTCGCTTGCTTTGCCTTGCTGTCCCTTGCTTTCCCTTGTGTTTCCCTTGCTTTCCCTTGCTTTTTTGTTGCTGTCCCTTGCTGTCCCTTGCTTTCCTTTGCTTTGACTTGTTTTGCCCGTGCTGTTGCTTGCTTTCCCTCGCTGTCCATTGCTGTCCCTTGCTTTGCCTTGCTTTCCCTTGCCTGGCTTGCTTTCCCCTACTTTCGCTTCCTTTGCCCTTGCTTTCCCTTGGTTTCCCTTGCTTTGCCTTGCTGTCCCTTGCTGTCCCTTGCCAGCTTGACCCAAGTCAGAGCAAACCAACAACTGCACAACCCTCCTGCACTGAATCACATACAAGCAACAACCCAAACCAGCGCCCGTACTTACACACCCCGTGTCGTCTCCCTGGGACCTGCAAACCAGCCTTGCGGTGGCAGAAAGTGCTCCAAAAAATACTCCCAAAAAATGGGAGTATTTTTCCTGCGACATCCCCAGCATCGCCGACCACCACAAAAACTTCCAAAACAAGCGACATCCCCTGCATCCCCGGCATCCCCTGCATCCCCGGCACCCCTTGTGCGCCCAAGTCCGGCGAGGCCGGAAGCAAAGTAAAATGATGTAAAACTGGCACGCTTTTTGGCCCACGAGAGCCACAAACGAAAAGGTCAGACATGATAGGCAGCGTCGACGAAAAAGCGCGAAAAACACAGGGAAAAACACCAAAAAACAGCCTTGCGGTGGCAGAAAGTGCTCCAAAAAATACTCCCATTTTTTGGGAGTATTTTTCGGCTGACCAGACCTGCAAATCACCCGGAACGAGGTTACCCCCCCCCCCCCCCCCCCCCCCACAACTTCGTACACTAACTCCCAGCGCTTCAAGAAGCGCTTTCCGTCATCTTACAATCAATCCAGAACCTGAAATATTTAAAGAATTCATCGTCAGCTCATTCTATGCCCGAACCGGTGAGCTCGCTACAACGAGACGAAACATACACATTGGGAATGAACCGATCCCCTTCAACTTCAATTAAACCACGAGCTAATGGTTCTTGGAAATCGGATCCGCATTCCGTGTCTCAGGGAGCCAGCGGGAAAAAGCGCGAATTTGGCAGCAACTTCCTCTAGGGTTTCCCTGGTTTCCCTGGTACTTCCCTGGTGACTCGTACCTGGAGCTCTCTGGAGCTCACAACAACCTACCCACCCCACCCATTCCATCTCCTGAAGACCCCGAAGGCCCCAAATGCTTCATTGGTGAATGGGCCTTCGGGCCCAACATCCAAATAAGGCAAGGGATCCTTCTGTCGCGCAGGCCTCAGCTCTGAAATGGGGGGGGGGAATCGGCCGGTCCTTCATCCTCCTTCCCATTCCCCCGTTTCACTTGTCTCTCCTGACGAATGGACAGGTGGACAAGAGGAGGGGAGTCATGCCCATTCCTTCCGACCATGTTTTCTCTATGCTGAAGGAAAAGGTGAAGAGATGAATAACGAACGAGCGAAAGGGCGCCCTCACCGTCCAACATGAATCAGGGTTCCTGAAAGCCCACCCCCTTGCCCACATTACCTCCTTCTCGATGGATTGGAGAGGACAGGCAAAATTCAACCAGAGATTTCAATGACCGAAGATTCCGAAGCTTCAGAAAGCGCGCGCCAAGCTCATTTAAAGTGTTTCCCGAGGGAAATACAGAAGAATCCGCCCATTTGCCAAGGAGCCATCACAATCATGTGGAGGAATTCCAAGAAGTCGATGCTGCCGCTCCTCACATCAAGTCCGAGGGCCGAGGGAGCGGCTCGTGTCGGTTCGTGCCGCTTGGCAGAGAACTCTCTGGCTCGGAGTGGTGGCGACTCAGACCATTCAGAGTGCCCCAAACAAGTCCCAAGAAATGGCCTCCAGATTGCAGTAAACGACCACTATTGTGTTGAGCATCCTGGTCTCATTGGAAACCCATCCGGTTTCACCTTCCCCTTTGCCGGGGACCGATTTTCTATCCCTGTGCCGATAGGCTCGAATGGGAACCCCAAAAACGGCCACGTCAAGCAACATACGCCCGGTCGGCTCATGACCCAACTGAATCCCGACCCCTAAGTGCCCTTCAAGACGACTGGGAGGATCCACCCCCCTCCAAGCCACCCTCTCGCACGGTGTCCAAACTTGTCCAAGTACAATGTTGGGGAAACAGGAGCGGAAATGGGTCCGAGAGCAAACCCCTGGTGTTTGCATCCATTCTGCACCCGAAACTGCGGGAATTCTTCATGTTCAGCTTCGGCCACTAGGTTCATGTGACAGCCTCCCAAACTATTCCTGGACATGGCGCTGAAAACTGCCTCCAGCCTCAAGCAACAGGGGGTTCTTTCAGCTCTTTCCATCAATTTAGGGGAGTGACAGTTGGGTGAAAGTAGATGGCACAATCTCTACCCCCACATAAAGTGAATTGTGCCAGCTAGCTTCACCATCCATTATATACAAGAAAGAATCAACTTTTGGGGAGCCTTCCGTCAATCTGGGGGGGTAAGGCCTCGACGAGCAGAAGGCGTTCTGGGGACCCGCGCAGATCAAAATCGAAGACGCGGAAGGCGACGGCGGCGCATGCCTGACCCGAATGCGCTGAGCGCAGGCTACAGCTCATCCAAGGAGGTTGTTGCTTTTTTTTTCCTGCCAAAGCGGCGGCAACCAATGGGGTTGAAAAAAAAGGCACCAACCCCCTTTGCAGACTCCTTTTGTGCTCTTGGATTTGCTGATGGGCTGCAAAAGGTCCCGACATGATCCCAAGACACAAATCAGGGCTCGGAGCCAATCCTTTGGTTTCCTCTGGTTGACCTTCCTCAAAGGACCAAATGTCTACCCCTGCGCTCACATCGAATGTACAGGACATGCCCAGGGCCACACTCACAAGAAACCTAGCTACTCTGGGGGGGGGGGGGGGGCTTTTGCACATATGAGGTGATCAATTTTCTGCGTCACAGCGATTAGATTGAGACAAAGGGTAACCTTTAAAATTGGCATGACCATTCCCGAAACCAATCAAACAGTTCCCTACTGAGAACTAGCAAGTACGCCTTCCCTCGTGATGCCAAACAGCTCTCGTTTCCCCTTTTGGCCCTTTTCAGAAAGGACAAGGAGTTATGCGCACATGGCCCAAAGTTTCGGGACAATGTTCTGCTCTGAGTGAAGCGCGGGGTCATGGTGATTGCAAAAAAAGCTCGCTTGTTTAGCACTTCTCCAACGGTTCCTCCTTGTAGTGGTGTCCCCTTCTTGCTGGTGCTCAGCAGGGCATGAGGGAATGAGGGCATCCAGAGGCGCATTCCCTACTGAGCACCAGCAAGCCTTTTCCTTCGGCGGTTTCTCGCATCGCCCGCCTCATGAGGCATCTCCACGCCAAGCGCCCTCAGCGCCAGCTCCACCTGCACCTGGCCCAGGGGAACCGATGGCATGCGTTCAGGGAAAACATTTGTCCAGGAATCCGGGACCAGCAAGTTTGTGGGAAACCCAAAAGAAGGTTGCGTAAAGAATTGTGGTCGAAATACGACAAACAAGGGCTTTAGGGGGGTTGTTCCCCCCAGGAAGGAGTTAAGGAGTTTGGTTTCCAGAAGTGCAAGTGAAGGGAACCACGTCTCTAGAGAGTGACCAGCCGCGGTGTTTCTGTTTCATTGGTTCGTCCCCCCAGCCCCCGAGCCCTCCCCTCCCCCCCCCCCCCCGCTTCCGAACCTCGGTGAGGAGCCCCGTGCCGTGGGGGTCCAGGCGCTTGAAGAGCTCCCGCAGCTCCTGGCGCGACCAACCGCCAGCGCTGCCGAAGCCGAAGGCTCGGATTTGGCGCGGCTGTGGTGCCTGGAGCTTTGGAGCTGGGTGCTTAGTTCATACCATGGGGGACATTTGGTCGGCAAATGAACGGATGGAACCCCAAAAGCCATCCTGACAAGAATATGTGTTTGCAACAAAACGGACCTTTGTGGCTTTCGTGATTTGCAGGGGAGTAAGGTGAATGACATCAGAGATTCGTTCAAGGTTGCTCCCCTCCCATGAAAACAATCCGATGGTACTGCCCTCAAAAAGGATCCCACCATGGCATTCAATCCTTGACCAGACTTCGAACACCACGTGATACATGGACCCGAAAAATGTGTGTCCCTTTAAAACAGCCAAAAATACATAGCGCCTTGCATCCGTGCGAGACCCACGGCGGGCTTCTGCGAAAGATCACATGAGCTCCGGAAAGACAAGGTTCGTAGAAGCGCATTTGCGGAAGCTGTTTTGTCCAATCCTCTCGTATTTCCTGTGGGAGATCCAACTGCCTCAAGATGTATGCGGTATGTACTTCCACGTTCACATGTTGTGCACTTTGGTGGACAAATTGGCTTATACCTCGAGCCCTCTTGGCAAATAGATATCACTGAAAACGTTACCATCTAGTTTCAACCAAACTGACCTAGGAGGACCCTCAACCAGTGACGCCACGCAGGTGTCGCCGCCGGCTTGACACTGCCACAGGCCTTGCCCAGACCCCTGCAGCTCTTTTCTGCTGTTCTGCTGGTCAAAAAGCAAGGCAGCTTGTGGCGCTCTTTGGACCATGCTTGCACTTGTTCCTGCCGCGTTCCTTTGGCCTTTTTGTGCTTCAAACCTAGGCACCATCTTCGAAAAGGAAGAAACGTGATGCACCAACACTTGGGGAAGATTCTAACCACTGTCCACTTTCCATGTGAGCCGCTGACAAACTGACTTGTTTCCCCCAAGGGGGCTTGGGAAAGTCGGCGGGTCTTTCATTGAAATTCCTCTGCCTCTCGTCCGTTGAACTCGAATTTGGGGGATTCGGTTCATCGACTCAAACTGATTGGCTTGCATGTGGGAAAGCCTGTCAGGAACCCCAGGAACTTCACCCGCAGCCGAAGCTTCGTCGGCTCTCGCACTCGCTGGTGCATCCCGAGGGTCGTGTGCCCTTCAGCGGTGCGCCGCGGGAGCCTGCGGAAGCGCCAACTGAGCGCTTTTTGGGGGGAGGGTGTGCCTCAAGGTTCGCTTCTACAGAACCCCTGAAGGGTACCAACTCCAAGAAGACGCACCCATGACTGGTTCACTGAAACGGGGAGGGGGGGGTGGTTCCCTGATATTCAAACAAGTCTTGCGTGAACCTTAGGAAACAAGCCTAGGTCATGGTGTTACCATGAAGCCAGTACAGTATGTACCCATTCTGTCCTCCAAACTCCATTCAAAATGGCTATGGGTACCTACAAGGGTCCATTCAGCTGACCCTCGAGCTAGCACATAAAGTTGCCCCCCAAAGAAGCGATTTCCCGATTTCAACCGAACCTTGCAAAAAGTGGCTCAGGCCAAAGGCTGACGTATTTGAGCAAGCTGGAGTCATTCTCCGAAGTGAGGACGCATACGCCAAGAAAATACCACAACTGTGCGATTGACAAGGGAACCATTCAGCAAGATCACTCATTTTGGGCGCCGCGATCCTTGCAGCCATGTGAACACAGCCCTGCAGCATTCACGCTTGATGAACCCCAGTCCTGAAGAATGAACCGGGCCGGGACACTGGGAAAAATGGATGCATTCCGAAGCCGATCAGGAATCGAGGGTTCGGAATCGAACACCGTAAGATCGCTTGAGAAAGTTGGTCTGTCAGGAACCCCCAAGCAGATTCAATGTTAGTGGGGTAGGTACCGGGTAGGGTGCTCGCCAGGCAGGTTCAAGTACCGTGTACCCACCGAAGCCCCTAATCAACCATCTCAATGGACATGTCTCAACGGATCCCAACTGACACCCCGTAAGTAAGCTTCCCTTGCCATTCTCTGACCCTAATGCAACGGGCGAAATAATTAGAATCGGGGTTGCAGCATAGTTCAAACCCAAGTTTAGTCATAAGTATATCAATCTACTAGTTGTGTAGCCAGGTGAGGTTGCTTGCCGTGAACATTCTCAGAGACACTGGGCGTCCCGGCGTTGTAGTAGATCGACAAGCCACTCACAGCTACGATGCTTGTTGCCTTGGCATCCAGTCATGGGGTGGTTTACTTCCTGAGTGGAGTGGCTAAAGTCTAAAACATGTGAGGCGGGACAGCCCGTTGTTAAAACATGTGGTTTGTCTCCACAAAGGTGTTTGACAAGAACGATGTTTGAGAAGAATGGGGAATCAACCCCCAGAAAATGTCATTTGTCTCGGAAGGAGGGACCCCAGAAAATGTGTGGTTTCAGAAACTGCAAAATCATGCCTTTGGGGATTATTGAACAAGGATCACTGAGGGCCCAAGTTCCGAAACTATCAGTGTCCTTTTCCGAAACTGCGTTGTTGTTTTTGTTTTGGAGAACCTGACTCGAAACTGAGACTGACTTATCTTTCACCCATGCTCATCCTCTGCCTATCCATGAGTTGGTTCTTAACAGAACTTGCTTTTTAATAAACCCCACGTTTGTGACGACACATTCTTCGGTTGTTTAACACCCGATCCACGGCGAACCGCATGGAAACCGAAGTCGAAGCCATGCACAGCCCTCGTCTTCCCGTGCCGGGAGCCTCGAAAGATCCGAAGGCCCCGATTGCGGTGGCCAGGGCGCCAGCAGCGCCACGATCCCGGGGCGGTGCAGCACGTAGGAGCTGAGGATGGTGCAGCAGCTCAAGATGCAGCTGGACTTGCAGGCGCAGATCCTCGGAGAGCGCTTTTCCGTACCCAAAGTGGCTCTTGGGTGATGGATTAGGTAGAAAGGAAAGATGGGGTTGGGGAGACTCAAACCGGCTGCATGCGCGGGGCCGCTCACAACATGCCCACAACTCTAACCTTATGTTCCTTTTGGTTTCCCTTGCACAGATCATCTAGGCACACTGGATGTTCCGAAGGAAAACGGAAACTCGTGGACACTCATGGAAACTCATTCTTCACTCGGGCCACAATCAAAACCCGGGTCAGTGAAAGGGCCAAAAGAATTCAGTAGAATGGGTTGGTGGAATACCATTTAAAGAAGGAACAAACAATATATGCATAGCTCACACACATATGTATATATACTACGTCATGATCATAGGACGATGTGTGCAATCATTAAGCCATTTAGCTCCTATCATTCTCCTGTGGTCAAGCAGCCCTCCCGAGTTCGCTCTCTCCCAACCCACTGCTCAAACCCCGGCTGAGCTGCGCCAGGTGAGCGGCGATGAGGAAGCCAAAGAACCACCTCTCCAGGCGAGGCTTGGAGGCCCGAATTTCCGAAGCCAAAAGGACATCGGAGAACAGAAGAGACATGGCCGGGTCTCAAGACTTAGGGAACCCCGAAAGTTGCGGTTGGGTTTCTGTTGGTTGCCCCTTAAAAGCCAACCAAGCGGGGGATTCCCCAAAAAAGGACACACCCGCAGCCGCATGTTCACTTTGGGACTTACCCAAAGTGAAAAAAAACTAACTCTTGGTCTGTCCAGACCCGGTTGGTCAAACTGACCCGTAAAGCTTGCCATGCTCTGCTCTGTGGCTAGAAACGTTTAAACTCTTCCAAAACCGTGTTGTTCCGAATCCCGACCGGCACAATGATAATGGCTTCTCAAACCGGAAACCAAAGGAAACGTCGCAAGCGAATTTCGACCTGGAAGGTTTGGTCATGTGGCCAAGGCCAAGAGCGCAACTAAAACCGCATCCTTGGCTGTCATCTGTGAGGAACTCCTCAAGGAGCCACCTTATGTACCGTTGGTAGCCCAAAAGAGGATACGTGGCACACACGGCCCGGTGCCCAAGTTTTCACCAAGCCGCGCGTTGCGGAGCATGAAATAGGTCGGTGCAAGCATCATGTCGATTCCCGTGAACATCATGCAGACTCCGAACCTGGCCGGCTCACCGATCTCTTCCGGGGCCCTTGTTGGGTACATTGTCTCTTTTTTGTGGCGGACCGAATGGAAACCGTGGCCATTTCCGGGGCCGGTGGGATTTGAGTTTCAGAGCGGGCTGTGGGTTCAAGCGGACGCTCCCCTCAAAGAAAGCTTCTGGTGAGTCCCAGGTTAGTGGGCAGGGTATTTGCCCAAAGGTTCAACACTCTCAAAGTTGACAATTGGATCGGATAGTGTCAAAGGGACAGTCCGACCCAAAAACATAGTCCCACGAGAAGGAAGCTGTCTTTGAATTGCAAAAGAGAGCCTGAAGACAGTCTCAACTTGATGATCCCTAGTATCACAACCACACGGAGAATGGCACCCCTGAACCAAAAGGTGAAACATAGAAAATCCGGAAAACTGCTGAAAAGGAGAAAGCAACCATCTCCGAAGCAGCCCTGGAACCTCCTTGGAACCTCCTTGCAACCTCCCCGGAACCCTCCCGAAACCTGCCCCAAAAGGATTCGCCTCACACCCCGGGATTCGCTGATTCACTCCGCTGTCGAAAGATCATTACAAGTAAAAGTAAACACAAACCATGACAGTTTGCAATGCCTTCAACAACTTACCCAACACCCAGAGCGTTGACAACGGACAACTAACCACTCACTGAACATAACAGCGAGAATAACGATGACAACAACAAGAGCCATCACCAACATCAATACTATTGATACACATCCGGGGCTGTACTCAGATCCGCTGCTAAAAGATTAACTTTTAGTGGGTTAGATGGGCTTCCCCAACTGAATCAACAAGAAAGCAAAAAACCTAAGGAACCGGATGACTGGGGTTTCCCCCCAAGCATATCCATACCGAGCTGATCACCAACGCCGGCGAGGGGACACTCGGAAGAAGTAGGTGCGGAAGTCCCCGGCGCCCTCGAGCTGGGGCATGGCTTCGAAGCAGCGCTTCACGCCCCGGCAGCACAAATAGTTGCCTCGAGGCGTCATCGTTATTCTCGCTGTTCTGTTCAGTGGTCAGTGGTTACGTTGTCAACGCTCTGGGTGTTGTCAGTGAGTAAGTACAGATGTTGGTTCAGATCTGGTTGGTTCAGTAGGTTTCCTTAAAACCACCAAGACCGCCAAAACGACAGACCCATGAATCGTCAATCATTGTTTGTTTCCCCAACTGACACGGGAACCCGAAAACCCCCATGTTCATCCGTTTGGTGGCTGGTGTTCAACATATACTATCATCCAGCAAGTAGTAGAGGGATGACATGGGCGACCCCAGGACACTCTCAACAACATTGAAGCAACGATGCCCCGGTACCTTTAAATGGGAAACCAACCGCAGGCTGTTTCAGCAGCAGTGCTTTAAACCAGTCAAACAATGGGTTTGTCCAACGCTCACACACATCCACCCCTTCAAAGTCATCGCCCTCGGGAAGACCAAAATAGACCAAAGCTGGCGGTTGCGGTTTGGCACACACGTGAAGCCTTTCTGGCAAGCTTGATGAGAGGATCATTTTGGCAAGGGGGGATTGAAACTTTATTGGTTCCAACGCGTGGCTGTAAGTTTGACTTCCAATGGAGCACACAGGCGAAACCTTCTTCCCAGAGGACAGGATCGTTTTTGGGCATCATATGGACAAACAAAGGGCCCTGCTTTTCGAGAGGGAAGATTTATGGGAATGGTTTTTTTTCGACCTGTAGAGGGTCTTTTTTTGACCTAGTAGAGGGTGAGGGTCTTTTCCTGACCTGGCCGAGGTCTTTTTTTGACCTGGTCGAGGGTCGCAGCGACAAGAAACCCCCCCTACTGGTCCAAAAAAAAACTCCCCCCCCCCCCCCCCGCCCGAAATGGTCTTGCTTTGACCTGGTTGGCGCTTGTCATCTGAGCCTGTGACCGCCGACACATAAACCCCCTACAGGTCAGAACGAAACCTGACCCCCTGCGAAAGCGTCGCGCCCCAGAAGAACCACACGGAAGAAGAATGATCAACAGCATCGCGGCGCCGCCAAAAAAAGCAGGGGGGTTGGGTGGGGTACAGCCAGGGACTTCCAGCGTCCCATCAATCCATCTGTAGCATCCGGTTCTTACCTGAAGCAGATCCAGGGCCACAGAATGCTGAATAACATCGGGCGCCGCTAAAAGTAGAACCACACGGAAGAAGAATGATCAATAACATCGGGCGCCGCCAGTAGAACCACACGGAAGAAGAATGATCAATAACATCGGGGCGCCGCCACACAGAAGAAGAATGCTCATTAACATCGGGCGCCGCAGCCCCCCCCCCAGTGGAACCACACGGAAGAAGAATGATCAATAACATCGGGCCGCCGCCAAACAAGCGGAGGGGTTGGGGGGGGGCAAGCAGCCCCCCCCCCCCCAGTAGAACCACACGGAAGAAGAATGAGCAATAACATCGGGCGCCGCCAATAATTAGCGGGGGGGGGGGGGTGGTTCTTGTTTTCCGACATGATAGATCTCCACGCAGCCATTTGGCTCAAGCCTTTTCTTTGTCAACCGTGCACGCATGCAACCGAGACATAAAAGAGCCACAGCGGAGCGCTTACAGGCATACAACGTAATCCAATCCACCAGGGACAATCCAATCTCAATCCATCCATATAAATCTACCACAAGGCAACTGTTCCTACGGGATGGCAGTAGAACCACACCTGTAGAGCCACACGCGACCGAGCTCCTTCCCGCCACTTCCTTGGCCTGCCCCGCTTAGTCAGACTGCCCAGCCCAGCCGGCCCAGCCGGCATCATTTGCTCAAGCCCGCGTTGTCCTTATGGCTCTTTGTGCCTGGCTCAGCCGGGCCGCTCGTGTAGCGTGTGGGTAAGTTGGGGGCTTCGCCCTTTGGCGCTTTCCTCCATCGCTGATCAGGATTGCACGTGCCAAGACAGCTCTCTAAGTCACCTTTTCGACCGCTGGGCGCTCAGCTCAGGAAACAGTCACTGCTTTTTGCAGCGCTTCTTCGCCTGCGGCTCGGTGTCTGCCTCTGCTGGCCTTTTTTTGGGCCGGCCGCGCTTTTGCTTCTGAGGCAGGGCCCTCAGGTCGATTTGACCTGTCAAGGCTTCTATGTAATACACATGTGAGCACTGCGCCCGCTGGCCAAAAGTTGGGCACGTGCACGCCGCCTTGTCTTTGACATCTGCATGGTTGTACAAGCGTGCATAGTACTTGCGTGGCAGGTCTCCGATCATCACGACACAGTGGCAATTGAAAAGCAGGTCCAAGCTGGCGAGATCTAGTTTCCACGCACCTGTGTCCACCTGCCTCACAACACCACTCTCACTCAAGGCTGCATCGAGGTCGGGCCCGGCCAGAAGAATGAGGCGCACAATGCGCTGGGCAATGGCCTCACTGACATTTGCCTGCGCTGGCTCCTCCTTGTCAGTCTTCTGGGCTCGAAGCACACAAAAAGTTGTGTTTGTGCTCTTGTCCTCGACCTTCTGCACATTCCGCTTTTGTCGCGCTGCCCAGTACTCTTCGGCGGAGTTTTGCCCCAGACGGTGCAGGCCTGTGCCGCTTACAAACAGAGGATCTGGCTCTCTTGGCCACAGTGAGGCCCTGTGGGTAGCTGAGTCTGCCACCATGTGTGCCTTCCACTCCTTCTGGTACAGGCCCTGCATGCGGAGCAAAACTTCTCCCGGCTTGCTCCGGGCTTTTCTGCGAATCTGCTCTTGCCAGAAACTGTGGAAGGCCTCAATGGTCTGGGTCCCCGTGGCGCTTCCTGGGTGTGTGCCAAGCACCCCGCTCCAGTAATCTGCCCAGAGCAGCGTCGTCTCAGCCAGAGCCCGTCCCGCAGGCTGAACTTTTTCTCGAGGACCTCTTTTCGCACGTCCTTGATGTACTCCTTCTTCAGGTACGCCACAACCTCTCCCTTGCCAGCTGCTTGCAACTCTGGCAAGATCAGTTTCCAGACAGCGCTGAACAGCTCTGCTGTTGGGAGGAATCGCGTGCAGCGTAGCGCGTGCAAGGTCCGGGCGCGCCAGTCCTCCAAGGCCTTCTTACTCAGCGTCCCTTGCACCGCCCTCATCATGTGCGGGTAGTCGCGGCATGGGCGAGCTTCGGGAAAACTTTGCGCCGAGCAGCTTCTATGGAGTCGCTGAAATCGGAGTGCATCTGCAGCACCTGGCTGGGACAGCTGAAAGAACCGAACAAAATTGTCCGTGCTCTCTGCGTCCATATAGGCTTGCATAACTAGCTGGACCGTGTTGGTGCGAAGCTCTGCCTGCAACTTCTTGCCCTCTGTGTCGCGGGCCAATGTTGTGTTCCTCGGTGTCTCGCTGCTGCGCAGAACTCCTACACTCGCAATGACCGCGCCCGTAGTTGCTATCTTTTGCTTCCCATCCACAACCAAGCACACCAATCTGTTCTTGATTCTTTTGAGGTTGTTGAGGAAGCCGCGGCAAGACCATGCAAAGAAACAGCGCCCTGCCGCACAGTCCGCCGCCTGCAGTACACGTAGTTCTGTCAAGGCAGCGTCGACCCACGATGCGGATTGTTTGTCGATCCACGACGACACAACATTTTTCAAGCCTTGCACGCTTGTTCCAGCGTCGCCAGATTTCTTGTTCTCGCGGCTGACAAACTGCTTGATTTGCAACGACGTGCGCTTCAACCCCATCTTGGCCTCTTCAAGTGCCTTGCGGATGCCTTTGGCAGAAAGCAGCGCCCCGCCTGGAAAAGCTTTCTCAATTGCAGTTGCAGCCGCCTCCGCGTGCGTCCACAAGGCTGTGCCACGAGGTTGCTCTTGTTCCCCATGCGTGCCGTCGCACGAGATCAAAACATTCGTGCTGCCGTTTTGCTTCACCGTCAGGGTGGCCAACATTTTCCACGTGCAGCCTGAACATCGCCCTTTGCCGCATAAACCTGTAATAGATCTGCCATGTGTGGTTGTCTGCTCCCGCAGTCGAACACGCGCTGCTCCAGCGCCTGACTTGGCGAGCTCCTTGCGGAGAAATGCGTAGAAGTCCTTGGAGGTTACAACAGGGATGTCCGGCGTGCCGTCATACAAGACTTCGCCGTAGCCACGTCTCTGCCTGGTACACGAGCTACATGCTCAAAGCACACGCGCCCCTTCACGCCCACGCAAACACAACACCCGCCCTATAGTATAAACTACCCTCTGCACGACCCAGTGTGAATTTCCAAATAATTCCCGCGTTTTACGTGGTAGTGGCCGGACATGCACGAAACCTGTGAAAAACCATATGATTTGCGCGTTTTTGCGGCCATTACAGGGGGGAAAGAACCAAAAAAAGCGCGCGTTTACAGGACGACCGAGCCACCGCACACTCAAGCACGGCCTGCGACACCGCAGAGGATCTTGGCCCGCGACCGGGGTTTTCACCGTCAAACCAAGACGCGGCTTCCAGAACTTGAAAAGTATGTCTGCCACTGTCATGTCCTTAGCTCGACGCGCGAGAGACCTTGCAACGCGTGTGATCCCACCCTGCCATTTGCCTCCAAGACGTCTGCCCAGCGAGTAGACATTGGTTTTGGGCTGCGTTGGGGGCAAGCAAAGAGAACCACATGTGCTGCGGCGGCCAGGCTCCATAGCGCTGACCCAGTCTGACTATCACTCACGGACGCAAGCATTGCAAGCTTTTAGTGTGTCCTTGCACTTTGCTGTCCTTGGGTGCTCTTTCTTGCTGTTCCTGTTGTGACTCACGCTGCTTCCAAAGGGTAATCACACCCGCTCCAGCGCACCTGCTCAGCGCTATACACACGGCTGCCAAATCGTAAGCATGCCCTGCCCGCTCAAGTGCACCCGCTCAGCACTGCACGCATGCCTGCCAAATGGTACGCGTACTCGCTCCAGCGCGCCCGCTCAGCACAAAAACCCACCCCCCTCCAAAACGGTCTTTTGTTGCCCTGGTTGGGGCTTGACATCGCCGACGTGGGATCTAGCAAAACCCCCTACAGGTCAAAAAAACATCACCCCCCTCCGCCAGGGGTTGGGGCTTGTTATCTGAGCCCAACATGGGACCGACCAAAAAACCCCCTACAGGTCAGAAAAAATCCTCACCCCCCTCCGAAAAGGTCTTTTTTCGACCTGGTTGGGGCTCGAGCTTGTGACCGCCGACGCGGGCCCTAGCAAGACCCCCTACTGGTCAAAAAAAAGCTCCCCCCCCCCCCCGCCCGAAATGGTCTTGCTTTGACCTGGTTGGCGCTTGTCATCTGAGCCTGTGACCGCCGACACATAAACTCCCTACAGGTCAGAACAAAACCTGACCCCCTGCGAAGGCGTCGCGTCTTTTTTGGAGGGGGGGGGCTTGTCATCTGAGCGTGTGACCGCCGACGCGGGACCTAGCAAAAACCCCCTACAGGTCCCGGAAGGGTCTTTCTTTGACCTGGATGGAGCCTGCGACCGCCGACGGGGGGCCTAGCAAAAACCCCCTGCAGGTCAGAAAGAAATCTCCCCCCCCCCTCCGAGAGGGTCTTTTTTTGACCTGGTTGGCGCTTGTCATCTGAGCGTGTGACCGCCGACGCGGGACCTAGCAAAAACCCCCTACAGGTCAGAACCAACCTCACACCCCCCCCCCCCGGAAGGGTCTTTCTTTGACCTGGATGGAGCCTGCGACCGTCGACGCGGGGCCTAGCAAAAACCCCCTGCAGGTCAGAAAAAAATCTCCCCCCCCCCTCCGAGAGGGTCTTTTTTTGACCTGGTTGGCGCTTGTCATCTGAGCTTGACCGCTGACACGGGACCCATCAAAAACCCCCTACAGGTCGGAAAAAAACCTCACCCCTCCAAAAGGGTCTTTTTTTGGCGACGCCGACGCGAGACCTAGCAAAAACACCCTACAGGTCAGAAAAAAACTCACCCCCCCCCCCTCCGAAAGGGTCTTCTTGTGACCTGGTCCGGGCTTCCAATAGCTTCCTTCCAGAACGAAAGAAAAGACCCGTGCAGCTCTTTTTTGGACCTGTTGAGAGGTCGCACCCTGCAAACCCTTATCCAGGTCAAAAAAACCGGAAGGTCAGAAAAAAACACACCTCCCTCCGAAAAGGTCTTTTCTTGACCTGGTTAAGGCTTGTCTTCCTCGGCCGCTGATGCGGGACCAAGCAAAAACCCTCTTCAGGTCAGGAAAAAAACCACCTCCCTCCGAAAGCCTTTTTTTTTTACCTGGTTGAGGCTTGTCTTCCACGGCCGCTGATGCGGGACCAAGCAAAAACCCTCTTCAGGTCAGGAAAAAAACCATCGCCCCCCTGCGAAAGGTGTTTTTTTTGACCTGTTTAAGGCTCGTCTTCCACGGTCGCCGACGCGGGACCAAGCAAACCCTCTTCAAATGAAAAAATTCCTCACCCCCCTCCAAAAGAGTCTTTTCTTGACCTGGTAAAGGCTTGTCTTCCACGGCCGTTGATGCGGGACCAAGCAAAAACCCTCTTCAAGTCAGAAAAAACCTCACCTCCCTCCACAAGGGTCTTTTTTTGCCCCGGTTAAGGCTGGTCTTCCACGGCAGCTGCTTCTTCAGGTCAGAAAAAAAACCCGCCCCTCCGAAAGGATCCTTTTTTGACATGGCTGAGGCTTGTCATCCACGGCCGCTGATGCGGGTCAGAAAAAAACAATCACCCCCTCCGAAAGGGTCTTTTTTTGACCTGGTTAAAGCTTGTCTTCCACGGTCGCCAACGCGGGACAAAACCCTCTTCAGGTCAGAAAAAACCTCACCCCCTCCGAAAGGGTCTTTTCCTGACCTGGTTAAGGCTTGTCTTCCACGGCCGTTGATGTGGGACCAAGCAAAAACCCTCTTCAGGTCAGAAAAAAACATCGCCCCCCTCAGCAAGGGTCTTTTTTTGACCTGGTTGGGGCTTGTCAAAAGCATGCAAGCACCTTCCTCCCCGCCGATGACGCGGCACGAAGCAAAAGCCCACTGCAGGTCAGAAAAAAACCTCACGCACCTTGCGGAGGGTCCTTTTTTTGACCTGGTCAGGGCTTCTAATGCGAATAGCCTCCTTCCAGTACGAACGAACACTGCAGGTCAGAAAAAGACCGGTGCAACTCTAAGAGGGTCTTTTTTTTGACCTGTTGAGAGGTCGCCCCCTGCAGGCCCTTATCCAGGTCAAAAAAATACCCTGCAGGTCAAAAAAAGACCCAGTCCAAGATTTATTTGTTTGGAGGAAATCCGGATCAGTTCTGGGGGAGTTGCACACCCCGACGAATCAGACAGGCTCTCAACATTAGGTAATGGTGGGACTGTTCGCAGTCTTTGTGTGTGTTGCTGGGGCCTTCACCTTTTGGCCTACCAGTCCAAGGGAGAAGCCACGTGCGTTGGAGGACGCCCCTTGTTGGCTGATTGTTCGATCATCCTCAAACTAAATAAAACAATTGGTGGGGAGTCCACTGGACACCCAGGTCTTCTCAACAGGTGCAAGTGGTTGGGAACCTTGGTTGCCCACTTAGGGAATTCATAACAGGGCACACGGGTTATTTGCCCAGGCTTGCTAACAACTTCTGTGACTCAGCAAATCGAGCGCCTCCTTAAGTACCTTCCAGTACAGGTGCAGGTGTCCTCCAACTCAAGGAAGCAACCTGACTTTGGGGTCCAAGCAAAACAGCGCCCAAAGCCCGTAGACTTTGGCTTCTACTAACATTGCCATAAAGGTTTCTACAGGCTTGACTACAACCCACATTAAACCAAGTAGGGGCTTGGCTGCCTCCAAAATGCTCAGCGGGGGTTGGATTTTTTCGTTGGGTAAACAGCACCGCACCTCTGATCCGGCTCTGTTGGGCAAGTGAGACAGCTAAGTATACCCATATTCTGTAGTTGGTGATTGTGCATGTATGTGTATATATATATATATATACCTACATATACCTGATATACCTATATGTGGTCTGTAGATAATGTCCTTTACACTTGGAGATTGTCCATATACGTCTATATGTGTATGTGGAATACCTTTATATGCCTGGATAACTCTCATATTATATACCCTCCTAGAGTCTTGTGCATAAAAAATATTGAAACCCTTGTATGCCCTTCTTGCACCCACAATATACATGTATGTATATGTCTATATGTATATGTATATGTATATATGTATATGTATATGTATATGTACATGTATATGTATGGTTCCGGTCGGCGAGCTGCCACCCCCCGCCCCAATGGTATCCCCCCACCACGGGGGGGGGGGGCCAATGGTACGACGTTGGGGGGGTACGACTCTCGAAGCCTTGGCGCCAAAATTTATCAGCGGGCCCACAGCGGGGGAGAGGGGGTGTGGCCCTATTTAAGGCTACCATGACCATGGCGGGGGGGGGGGGTGCCAGACCTCTACCATGATGTATGTATGTATGTATGTATGGATGTATGGATGGATGGATAGATACATAGATTAGATAGATTAGATAGAATTATATCTTGTCATACTCAGAAACTGCATTTTCCCCTGACCGAACTTCGCTTTATGCTACACCCAAACCCGGGGTCCCGGGGCTGTCCCAGGCGCAGTGCTGAGTCTCGAAGGACTCCACGGCCTCGTGGTAGGCTTTCTCCGGATGCACCAGCAGCGACTCGCCTCAAAGAATGGCCGTTTCGTCAGCCCCCAAAATGATCCCCCCCAAAAAAAAGAAGGGACAAATCACAGGGGTGGTCTTTCTTATTTGAACTCACCCCCAAAAAGGGCTTCTTTCAGGAAGAGGAGAAAAAAGAGGAAAACACGCATTTCGACGGGCTACTGCGGATGGACGATATCTTGTAATGAAAGGAAGCTCACTTTTACATAGGCAACCCAAAAGTGGAAAATGTAGTATAAACAATCCTCCACAACAATTGTAGCTGCCCTTTGCACATCTGATCCCCTTTGCTCCTGGGTAGATGGAAGGAAGCTCACTTGTAATCTACTTCAAACAGAGAAACCTCTTGTAACACATGGTTGCACATGGGCACATGCTGCAACTGCGTCGCAAGTTCAGCATCTAATTCAAACCTGCCCATCCAAGCCCTCCCACAACTCACACAACGCCGAACAACCGTGGATGTAAATTTAGAGCACCCTCGGTCAAAACACAAAAAAGGGAATACCAAAAAAGGCCCCTAGGCGTGGGGCGAATGGACCCCCTTGAACCTGCATCGAGGTGCCCTCCTGCTTGACCGGCGTGCCCTCCACGGCTTCCGCATCCCGAGGGACTGGGCGCGGTGTTCGGAGAATCCCTTCACCGGTAAAAAGAAGGGATTCTCCAAATTATTCCACTGGGTGCAAGAAGTGAATCCTTTACTGATCACCGGTTTTTACTTTTTTGGAGAATCCCTTCACTGGTGCAAGAAGTTCGTCCAGTGGCTCCCAGCCATTTCTGGCAAAAAAAAAAACACGCCTTCGCCATAGACCTTTGGGCCTTTGGCCTTTGCAGGGCGGATGGTTACCTGCACAGGGAAATGGAATCACTGGGATGGATGAGTGCCCAACAAACATGGTTCTGGTTTGATGCACAGACCCGTTTTGGAAGACGAATTTCCGGTTGAAAAAAACATGTTTGGTGGGAGGGCCCGTTTCAAAATGGAGGACCTTTCCCCAACCAAAACGCAGGTGGCTTCTTTGCTTGTCAGACATCCCCCTTTAACTCGGTACACAAATGGAGGACCGCTCGAGGGTTGATGTCTAAAGTGAAAATCCCTATTTCGAGGTGGCCTTGCATTGCCTTCAAAACCATCCAAGAAAGGGCTCGGACCCATTTTGGTCATGGAAAATCCACCCCCTCCTTTGATTGAAAAACTGACCAAACGGGGGGGTCTTTGGTTCATTTGGAGGCAATACCTACACGAACCATTCACAAAAATAGGGCAACAATTCCAAAGCCTGAAATACGGGTCCTCCAAAGCACCTTCATGGTGAGCTCGTTTATATCCCCAGCGGAGCTTGCCATAAAATTGGCAGATAACAATTTGAACCCGGGGCACTTGCCTTGGTCGATCCGATCCGATCCCTTTCTGGTGACAGCGTTCCCAGTTCCAACCTAAGATCCTCGCCACAAGGAAACTCCCTTCACCATCAAAATTCACACTTTCTTGAAATTGGCCTTGTCCAAAAGATGATCTTCCAAACCATCCCTTGAGGGAAAATATAGAAAGCCCTTCTGAAAAGATTCTCCAGCCCTTATGCCACAACCCCACCACACTCCTGGCACTCTGCGGCTCCCCTTCACATGCTACAAACTCGAGGTCATCTTGCAGACTCCAACACCAAACACCCGATACCTACAAGAAGGCCGTTGCAAAAAATCGACCCGCAAAGCAAAGAGTCCAACGACCCCCCCCCCCCCCACCGCCTTTCTCGTTGGCGGTGCCCTTGGCCACGGGGCTGCCCTCCGCGGGGCTTGCGGCACCTCGCGAGCGCGGGCTTTGGACCTACGGGCTTCTCACATCCACCCGAATTGCCAAGCCTCACCGAATTGGGGCCTTGGGGCCAAAAAATTAGGGACCCGCCCCCCCCGGCCAAACTGAGTGCGTGTTGTTTGGCTTCCCTTTAAAAAACCACCCAACAAGGGTACACCGCGGTGAAAGTAGATGGCACAATTCCCTTTCGGAAGAAATGGGAGATGAGAAATCCAACATGGTGGACATGTGGCACCCACTTTCACCCAATTGTGCTTTGGTTTTTGCCACCCTTCGGGAAGCGGACCTTCATCTTTGAAGGGCTTCCATCTAAGCCCAAAGTGCAAACCGTGCTTGCGCTAACCATTAAACCGAATTGGGTCGGCTTTGGGGTAACGTGGGCTTGGCGAGAGGGGTTCTCGATTTCTCTTCAGCTACAAATCTTGTTTTTCTACTGGGTGACTGGGTGAGCGTCCGTGACTCTATTCCTTTGGCTTCTCTCCCAGGAAACTCTAAGAGACCCTTAGGGTTTCCATCCCAACCTGCTTTTGGTTCCCCTTGGTTTGCCATAATTTGGTCACCAAGTGTCGGTTTCCCTTCGGAGTTTTCTTTCGGTTTCTCTTCGGCTCGAAGCCAAAGAGCACGGCCAGATTTCCTGTTTTTGGAAGCCCCGGAGCGTACGAATCACGTTCAAGCCGTTTGCCTCCGTTGAGCCTCGTCTGTCATAAGATGCCTCCACCCAAGATGTGGATGATTCCTACATGGGCCCGGGCTAACAGAGCTCAAGCCATCCAAAAGGGCCCTCCCCCCATACCCCCCGCCCGGGACTTCAGGTAGATGTTGGATGGTTTGCTTGAACGGCGGGACTGAGATTCGTCCTTGCAAACCACATACGGGATGCCGAACAAATACTTGTGCTCGAGGAACAACCAAGTAAGGGTTGTTTGTGGGGTGGGTTCCTTCGTGGAAAAATCAAAAGCAGAGGAACAGGGAAAAAGGTGGAGGCAAAGGAAGCCAGAGGGACATCAAGAACCACAAACAAAATCCATGAAAAAGCGAGGCTGTGTTTCTTTGAGGTACCCTCTGTTGAGGTTGTTTGAAAGCGACACCAACAGGAAATTGTCTATTTAAGGGGAGCCTCTATTTGAGGAAAGCGCACAGGCGCACAATTGCACTCGCCCGTTACCGGCCTCCCATTGCCGCGGCGGGTGCCGGCGGCGCTTTTCGGCCGGTGGCCCTGGCAAAGGCCCAAGGACCCAAAAAGCTTAAAGCAAAGACAAACATCTGCGACAGTTACTATAACTTCCAAATTCAACAGGCACTATGATTTCCAAAATTTATTCCGATTTGGAAATGACTGCAACTTTTGCAGACACAATCGGAAATAAGGAAACACCCAGCAAAGGCCCCTCACAACAGGTGAGCTCGCGTTGCGCGGCTGACCTCCAACTATTTTTCCGGAAATGAACTGTGTGCGTGTGCGTGTGTGTCTATGCATATCAATAATATAGGGGTCCTGTTTCTCTTGTCAATAGAATCAGTCTGGTTTGAAGCTGGGTGTCCTCTTTGTTTGGACCTTAGAGCAAGAAAGGGCCGCAAACATGCATCGAGTTTGAGGAGATCGGCTGCTGAACGTGAGTGGTTTCAAATAACCAACACAAACCATTAAATGGGACTTATAGCAGGGGAGCAGGAATAATTTCGCACCAAAGGACAGAAAGGAACAAACAAAAGGTCAAAAGGTCAATTGTTTTACAACTTGGGTACGTATCAAAATCGGGGAGCCACTTTCAACTGAAGCCAACCTTCCAAAAGAAAAATACCCTCAAGAAACACAGGTCCACTTCCTAACCCGTGAGCAAATACGTGCAACCCCTGCCTCCGCTCGTTCCACCAGAGCACTGGAAAGCCCAGGATGAAGATGGCCAGTCCCAGCCACGGCGTTAGGATCACATACCTCGCCATCCGGCCAAGGGATCCCTTTTTCGCTGGTTAGCGAAAGTGAAGGAACCCACAAGGGCCTTTAAGGGCAAGAAATGGTTTTGGCAAAGTGTTCAGGCTTGCTCCAAAATCCTGACACAAGGGCAGAATGTTGGCCCTGGAGAGGCAAAGCAAAAGGAGATAATGCCATATGTTCCACCCTTGTTGTATCACCCACTGTTCTTTTGGGGGTACCAGCTGCTTTCCTATGCTGGAGACAAGCCTATCTTGGGACCTTTAACAAGACTCTCACCCCAAGGTACCATTTCTGTAATGTGCTCGGAAAAATGACCCCTGGGTATAAGTTCAGATTTTCGGGTCAACCTGCAGGTTGGCTGCCCCAAAGGAAAAGGGAAACCTGCAAATGCGGCAACGATTCATGCCAGGGGAGGAAAGGGAGGACTTGTTGGCTGGCGTTCAGGGGGCAAACAGATAGTACACGAATCGTTGTGGGTAGTCCCCAATCAATAACAATGGAGATCATTCAAGACCCTGAACTAATGCTTCAAGGAACGGCTTCAGCCCAAACCTTATGCGGGTACGAACATCCATCCATCCTTTGTCTTTTTTGGCTCCTGATTGAAGGACAAAAAAACGTTGGCAAATCTCGCCCAGGAAACCATTGTGTTGTGGTTTGGCTGAGTTGGACAGGCGAAAGGAGCAACCGCATTCTCAACTCCTTGACCCCTTCCCATGGTTGCTCAGACACACACACACACACACACACACACACACACACACACACACACACACACACACACACACAGAGCGTCATTCCCTCCCCTGAATTTATTGAAGTAATACGTCTCCCCCAAATGACGCACCCAAATCATTTCTGTCGTTCAGCATCACCCCAAGAGAAACTCAATCAACATTGCCAACCAAAAGCTGATGTGTCAACCGCCGCAAGCGTCTCACATACCTGCGTCCAAATCGGAGGACCCCACAGTTGTGGTTTTCCTTTTGGTGTCCTTTTCCACCCCTTGGAACCAACCTCCCCAGATCTGGCTGACCCAAATCCGGGGCACGCCCAGCCCTCGTAGTTGTGGGGACTCTTCTTCTCCTCCGAGGCTCGGTCCAGGTCGTCGGCCACTGAGCGCGTAGCTTGGGTGACGAGTTGGGTCTGGTGGCGGGTCGGTTGAGACGGGTTGCCTTGGAAGACATGGGTTTCAAGTGGGTGGGTGCCTCATGTTTCCCATCTCGCCGTTCGGCTCCAGCAAAAAGAGAGGTGGGGACAACTTACCATGGAGGCTTTGTTGATGATTTGGTGGGGCCCGCAAACCGCAACCCCCTTTGCGGAAGAAAGCCTAGCCTGTCTGGTGCATTGCCGGTTGGCACCGCTCCTTTGGGACTCGATGTCTGAGTTTCCTTGCGCCCATATTTGGTTTCCAGGTTGGGCTGCCCAATCATAACTTCCAAATCCTTGAAAAGTTAAGGTGGCCTGGCAACATGGTTTTGCCACAAGATGAGACAAAATGGACCCAACTATGTTTTTGGTGCTCCTTTTGATTTTGCTAGGGAGGTGCGTGAAAGCCCCCACCCGGAAGATGATGATTTTTTGTTCGCACCTTTCTTTTGGAAACTCGGGACCCTTACAAATAGTGAATTCCTTCAGGTGTCTTTCAGAAACGTCGACCCAACAATGGTGCTTATTTGAAACAATACCCAAATTGAGCCCTGCTGAGAGTATTGTATGACAGCGACCAGGACCTCCGCAAGGGTGACTCAAAGCTTTTTCGAGGCTGTGCGTCTCATATGCTTCAGCAGAAAAACTGCTGCAACCGATCTTCAAAACCTGCCCAGTCCAAACAATTCCCGACAGACCCCAAGACCAGACCCCGAAGCCAAAAAATGACGACGCTAAAGACTTAGGACTGATTGTGCGGGTTTGCTCGCTCTCGGTCTGGACGCACAACAACCAAAAACGCCAAATAAATTAACAATTGTTTGAGGAGGGTTAGCATCGGAACCTCGGAACCCTGGCAATCGCACAACGGAGCTTCTGGGGCTGAGCCCCGGGCATCCCACGAATGGATTGGTCAGGCGCCGCCCAAAACCGCCAGCGGCCAGAAACGGACGCGGCGCGGGGCCAGGCGGCGCCGGTCCAAACGGCGCCGGTCCAAACGCCACGGCCATCGCCCGACGCACAGCAAGACAATGGCCGACTCAAGGAATGCCGGACGCGCGCGGATTCTTTAGTGGAAAAAGCAAGTTGCTGGGCGTTCGAGCGGTCACTGGATCTCTGACTGGCGCAAGCACTCACATGGAAGACGGTTTGAGATCCGTTTGTCGGCGCGGGCGACTGTTGGGTTAGCCAGCTCAATCTAGGTAGGAAACAGGGATCTGCACAAGAACAATGTGATCCATATGAGCCAGTGTTGTCAAGGACATGGAAAGATGAGAGAATTCCTCTGGTCTTTGTGGTGAAACATTGGACCTCGTCCCTGTCCCTGCCAAATGTAAAAGACACTTTGCTTTCCCTTCCATGGGCTGAAAGACAAAAGAAAAAACCAACGCTCCAGTGCCTTTCCCCTGTGAACCACAGAACCGTTTCACCTGAACCATCATTCACGTGCCAAAACGAGCTGTGTTTTAAGTCGGTTCCAGCTCAGATTTAAAACTCAAAAGGTTCCAGTCTACAAAAAAAGCGACCGAATGCGCAAGAAGCAGGATCAATACACTTGGCTCCATTCTACATGGCTCCCCAAGACGACGTGTCACCGGTCATGGGTGTATTTTTCTTAAGGTTTGGCTTTGAATCCCACCCCAAAAAGCCAGACCCAAACAATGTCTGGATTTTGTTTCACATTTCGCCCACCCTAAGATATGATGTAATTTTGGAGCACACTGGAGTAGGTTGGCTAGAAAAGGTGCCTGGATTATTTTTGTTCTACCCAAGCGATCTTCGTGAAGAGTTTGACTGAAACTGGTGAGATGGGCCTAGTTCTCGACAAAAATGGTCGCATTGGCAAATACTGATTCAGAGCCATGGGGAGCCATAGGAAGGTTGAGGAGTACAGGTCGCTAGAAGAAACTGTTCGGCTTCGAATTGTCTGGCTCCCATGGCGAGCCAGGGACAACACAGGCTGGGCATGAGACAACTTGATTTGCCGAAGTATCGGGAGTGCCCAGGTTCCGAAATCACACAACGGCAACTCATTACCCCCTAAATGGTGTCCCTCAAAATACACCATAAACCACGACAAGTTCCCACCAAACCTCGTGAACTTTTCCAGCTCACCAACTCCGATGCCGCGTGGCCCCCGCGGCCCCGCCTGCACCTGATCAAGATTTAATCCAAGCTCCTTGATGTGCTTTGCCTCGCGGCACGCCGCTCACGGCCATTTCCGGCGTGGTTGGGAAATGAAGCTTCCAGCAAACAAGCTCCCGGCATCTCATATTCACACCTCCCTCCTATGTATTTTCGGCCAAGTCACTACCAAAAATCACCCGACCCCCTTTTAAACTGTAAAGCAGAACCTTCTGGATGTACCCTTTCCCGATCAAATCCTGGGAGTTCAGAGGCGAAGGAGCTGAAGGGCGACAGCGGCTTCAGACTGTCCAGAGATCAGCTTGATAGGAACCCGGTGGCAAACCGCTGGTGGAATCTGCAACTTCTAAAACCTGAGAAGGAATCAGATCCCCAAGGGACCTACACCCGATGAATTTATCCCCACAGCTCATCATTGGCAAATTGAGAAGGAGCGGTGTCCCCGGTGTGGTTTGGAGGCGATGAGGCCTACCTGCTCATTTGTTGTCAACAGGTAGGGCTTTTTCAACTCTCATAGAGCAAACACGTCCCATGAGCTGTTCTCAGATGTCAGCGCACGATCTATCCACTGGCGTGCGCGCGCAAAGGGAAGCCTGCAATTTCCGCCCAGGCCGAGGGAATACTCCTCCTCATTTTTGGGTTGGCCCGTATGGGCAGTGCAATTGAAAGAGAAGGAACCAACATGAAGCCCTTTCAAAAGGCACAGGGTTGGGACCCTGAAAAGTGCCTGGTGGCCTTTTGCTTCCTTTCAAAGCCAACCAGGAAGTTTCATTTAATCCAGTGTTGTGGAAATTAGGGGCTTGGTCAACATCTGCGATACCAGAAAACCGCAGACTCTCCGAAAGTGAAGAAAGAAGCATTCAGAAGTCCCTTTTCCCAGTCGACTCCACCACCCTGGTTTCTGGTGTTCGGACACAGTCACATGCATGCGCTTGGTTCATAACAGGGGGAATGCCCTAGGGCCGAATGCTTCTCTTTGATGTCCCTTTAGATCATTTGCGAAGGGTAGGACACTGTTCAGGAGGGATACTCCTTCGTCCGGTCAATGTGTAACTTCTGAAGTGTCTAGCATTGCTTGGTATTTGTTCGTGGTCTGTTGTTTAAAGCTACTTTCTGGTATGTGTGAATATTTGTTGGCATTTTCTGCTTGCACAAGATTCGACCAACCCCAAAGGGTTCCAGCCCCAAAGAAACCACGCGGTCAAACGGTTTGTTTCAACAACCCCCTTTGGGTTGCGGTTTAAGCGGGGCCAGGGTCTGACTCCGAGGAAAACTATTTGAACCCATGGGCCTTTGCTCATGACCCAAAGAGTGCCTCGAGTGCGGGTGCCCGGGCCTCCACAAGCCTGGCTTCCTGGCGCGCTTCCTCCCGCATGCGCTGCAGCACCAGCCGCATCTGGCTGTAAGAAATTCTGCCCGTCCCCAAACTCAGCAAGAAGCTGAAGCCACTTGATACGAAGTCTGACCACTTAGGTGTAGCTTGACTTTGAACACGCCTTCGCGCCAAACTTTGAGATCCTTCGAGCTGTCACCCGCATGTAGCAGCTTGCCGCCCGGGTTTGGGCCAGGTTTTGGGGCAGATTCTGGAGGGGAAACACTTTGAGCCTTTTCGGTTGTAAGAAATTTCTGGTTTCTTGCCGTCCCCAAGGTCAAGAGATTCTTCAAGCAAGTGCGCGCATCAAAGCCCAAAACCAACCCCCAAAGTAGCCATATGAGACGTGTGCCTTGCTTCGGGCTTATTCAGGCCTCATTTACCTCTTACTTACTCCTTATTGAGGATTTACCCTTAGGAGGTATGGCATGGACCTGATGGTGAAACGGTTTAAAGTCTGTGGCTGGTGTTCTTGCAATGTTCAATGAAACCATAGCTAAGCGGGTCTTTGACCCAGGCAAATATATATATATATATATATATATGTACAAGCTTACCATCCTCAGAGAGTCTCCGTGGAAACCCTCAATCTTGGGTTCCCATACGTTCTCATTCGTGTCGACCGATAACTAACACGACGGTTGATTGATAGCGGGGCGCCTGGGAAACAACCCCCATTAATCTGCCAGCTTTCTCCAGGGTTCCCACTCGCAAATGCCTGCCCCAAACAACAGCCCACAGCAGACACCTCCTGAGTGGCAACTAAGCAGTCCTCCTACAGGAGGTCCACACACTTTTTGGCAAGGTTCATATGGGGTCCGCAAACCCGGTGGTTGTGCCTTTGGGCTTACCTGGAAAACCACCATAGCAGGTTTCCCAAGAAAAATCACATGCGTGCTGAGAAAGACGCCTTCGAGAAGCAATGCACGCCAAAGGGCGATGCTCCTGAAAAACCTCGCGTTGCAGGGGCCCAATGAATGGATTTTGTCTGCAGCCGCGCCTCTTGGTAAGTGAAGAGCTGACGCGCAGCCGGGTCCACGTCCTGAAAAAGGCCAAGCGAGGGGAGGGGGGGGGGAAGCAAGCTTCAAAGCATGGTTGTGGAGGGTAAAAGACTGCCAGTGGCCCGTGACGTGGTTTTGTTTGCAGGATTCGAATCCATCCCCTTGGCTACAGTATCACTTTCATGCAGGCGCCTGCAACTTGCCCTAGACGCCCTTTTTGAGATATTTTGGGTATTTCAAGGGAAACCAAAAGGAAACCCAGGGCCTCAGCCTGTTTTCAACTAAACCATGTTTGGTGCTTTTTCGACTGTCTTCAAGGAGAATCTCAACCTGCAAAGATTGGCGCAACTTGCTTTTTGGTGGTCGCCGCTATTCTAAGCCAACAACTTTGTTTGGTGGCCCAAGGACACTGAATGCCTCGCTTCGTCGCGTTTGGCGCGCGTCCGCGAAAGAACATTTCATGTAGGTCAAAATCATATGATACTAAAATCATCTGATACCAAAAAAGATCTCGGAGTCCCTCGCCAAGGTCAGTCCTGCATGATCCGTTCCAGGCACGCCATTGCCTTCGCCGCAGCCATCACCTCCCGTCCCACCAACCTGCGAGCATATCAATGGAAAAGCTTGGGCCGGAGGGAGAGAAAACAAGAGAAACTTCAGGATAGCAAGCTTATTCCCTTTGTCCAACAAGCATGGAAGTGGGCAGTTTCAAGAGGATGGCATGATTATTGGAAAGAGGGCTAGCCAAAAAGAGCGGGGTTCTCAGTCCCTAATCAAGGTAATCTGCTTGTTTCCGCTTCGAGGGAGCCCCTCCCCAGCTTGTCACCACATCCAGGATGGTCAAACTGCCCCCCTACCAAAAGTTGTCGCCTTGTTGCTTCCGCTGTGCTGCTCGGTTCCCCTGCTGACCTTCGTGTCAAATTCAAACAAGAATAGCAAGGAACCAACAAAATGCCATGTGTAGAGGAGTTTCCGTTTGCGCGGCCTACGCTTTGAGATCCCATGCTACTTTTCTAGGGGAGTATCCATCCCCGATTGATTTGCTTGAGGGGAATTACACATATGAGCTGTTTAGCACCTAAACTCGAGATGCTTCTTTTCGACCAGCCGCTGCTCCTGAAAAGGCAAATATTGAACAAAAACAGAGGAGACCTGATGAGTTCTCACATGAACTGCCAGAGGAAGCCTTCATGGAAGTGATTGTTCCAGGTCATCCTTGCCCAACAGGAAGATTTCCAGGCTGCATGCAACAGGTTTCCGTGTATTTCCGCTTGCAACATCACCCCATACAAAGGGAACCTTAAATGGGCCAAAAAGGCGATGTTTAAACCAAGTGCAGAGGTTGTGGATCTCGCTCTCTGCTTGGCTTACTGCACAGATCCAACAGGATCCTGCAAATCCCCCATATTTCCAACCTAAAAACTTCACCCGGCCGAAAGGAAGGGAAACCCTAGGCTTTCTTTCGGCGCTCCCCCCACACTAAAAAGGACTCAAAATTGGGCCCTTGATGCAAGGAGACCGAAGGACTTGTGGTTTGGTCATCCTTTAAGCGCTCAGAGCAAGCATGTTGGTTGTTGCTCCGGTCAGAAACTGCACCTTTGACCAAAGTTCCAAAGCCTGGTGAGCTCGATTTGCCGCCCAATCAGTAAGCTCGCTATAAAATAATTGGGCTTTGTCTGAATACTCGAGCGAGTCTATGACCATCCCTAATCCAAGTAGAGTAGAGTTGTGACCATGGCACAGATCTCCCCTACAAAGATTGGCAGACCCCCCAAGTGAAGAGAAACGAAGGGAAACTGAAGAGACTGAGGGGACACAAAGGGAAATGAAGGGAAAGAGACATGAAGGGAAATGAAGGGAAAGAGACATGAAGGGAAATGAACGGAACTGAAGGGAAATGAAAGAAAATGAAGGGGAATGAAGGGGGAAAGGAAGGACATGCAGTATGCACGCAAATGTTGTTAAATAAAGGAAATGCTTGAGAAATCATGGGGAATGAAGAGGAGTGAAGGGAAGTGAATGAATTGAATGGAAATGAAGGGAAAGGAATGGAAATGCAAGGAAATGGAGGGACACGAGGGGAAATGAAGGGAATTGAATGGAAATGAAGGGAAAGGAACGGAAATGCAATGAAATGAAAGGAAATGAAGGGGAAATGAAGGCGGGAATACAGGGAAGTAAAAAGAAATCATGGAGGGAATAAGTGAAGGGAAATGAAGGGAAATGAAACGAAGGAAATGAAGGGAGATGAAGGCAGGGCAGGGCCGGTGTCCGCACCCTGCCCGAGCGACTGAGCGACCGAGCCCGGCCTCCGCCGCCGGAAGGTGGAGTTTGCCCCCTCCGGGATCACCGCCGCCTCTCACGGAAAGCGGTCGAAGCGAGAGGCGAGCTGGGCGTAAGCTGCACACTTGCCCTGACCTTGGTATCTAGGCTAAGCAATCCTGGCTTTCAGTTCTTCAAAGCCACATCGATATCATTGGCCCACGCAAGACAGCCGAACTGCCACAGCCAACGATAAGCTGCACAATCGAGAACCGATCCGTATGATCTCACACAGACGCCCCATGTCATTTGTCAACCCCGACGGCCGTACGTCATACGCTCCCGTTCAAGAGGCCCAGAGACCCGCATTGACCGGGCCCCACATCTTTTATTCCATCGCAACTCATGCACCTTGGCAAAGTCTCGGTAGCTTTGTTTGATCCGAGGCGCCTGCCACTACAACCTCATGGTGCTATACAAATGTTGCTTAGACTTAGAGTTGCTATTTGCTGCATCTTCTCGGGATCATGAGCCTCTAGCTGCTCTGCTCACACGCGCCACGCAGCTCCTTCTCAAACTCCTTCTGTGACTGGAGGACATCGCGCCACCCTCACGCGTGGGAACCAACGTGTTGGCAAAGAATGCCCCCGTCGAGGAGGTATCCTCCAATCCTTGGCCCAAGAGGGCTCCTCGGGCCCCCCTGTTTCCTCCTCCACCGCCTTCATCCACTGCTCCCTGAAGCGTTCCACCGAAAACCGGAATAGCATGAAACCTGCATTGCGCTCGTCCCAAGCGGTGAACTCACGCATGGCGACAATCTGCTCCGACGTGTTCAGGAGGTGCAGCAAGAGATCTTTCAACATCTTTCAACCGAATGGCATCCACATCCGATTCCATCCCAGCAGATATCTGCCGGTTCGACTCCTTCAGCACTCGGAAGACCGTCTCGATCGATGGATTCATCTCTTTTAAGAGGCGGATGAGCGGAGAAGGCGTAGAACTGTTGCCGTGGCAGCGCCGCGTGCTGCGTAGCATCCTGCACGCAAAGTCAGAGTATCACTCAAAAGACGAGTACAGGAATCCCTGATGAGCAATCCAAGCCGGGACAAGGTAAAAGGGGTTAGAAAGGGCGTCAAGCCAAAAGTGAGGAACCCACACCCCAGCCAACTCGCTGGTAGTTGGTGAGCTTTTGGCTTCCCTTTACATACCAACCAAAAGGGGTCCACCTTGTTTTAGCAGACCCACCTGAAGCCAGATGGTTGTGGCCGATTTCAGCACTGCAAATAAACCATCTACCAACCGGTACAAAGTAGATTTTATCCATCCACACTACGTACCAAGGCAGCCAGCAAGAAGGTAGTCCCACAGAGACCCTGCCGGATCCCGCCCGAAAGTGCCGCGTTCTTCAAAGTCCTGACATGTCCAAAGCGCGGACCCATTTCCTGCCGGTTCAGAATCCAGGCGTTTACAATCGAAGCTTGTTTTTTTTTGGCGGCCAGCCACCACTCAGCGAAGAAGAAGTTTGAGTCAATTTGGTTCTAACTCTGGCACCTCTCCCCCCAACATCAAAGCCTTTCCGAGGCTCAAGTGAGTCGCAATCAAAACCTGGTGCTAAAATGGTCTACCCAGAACCATGTACAGGATTAAGCAGGCGGCCGCAGCTATTTGTGGCTGGGATCGTCCCTTGTTAACCTTCATCTACCCGGGTTTTGATTGTGGCTCAAGTGAAGAGCTGCCAGCTCCTGACTCTCATTGGGCTTCCAATACATTTCCAACAGAGCAAGCGCGGGGCTAGGGGCTTTGGAGGGCGGTGATGAACCCATGGCCACTTCGGGCCCAATCATCGTTGTCATCAGCAGCCAGCACCATCATCGCCACCATCTTGTGCGCGTTCTTCTGGCAATTTGCATGGCTTGTCTGTTCTCAAACATGAGACCAATCTAAGACGCAAAGGAGGTTCCAATGCTTCAACACCCGAACCCGAGAAATCGACCCCTGCAAACGGTTGGTCTTCCTTTGCTTCCTTTTCAAGCCCGCCAAAAAATCAAGGACCCTACCAACCCCAAGGAACCCCCAATCGCAAAGGCCTCCCCAAAGTGAGGGAGTATGATAAGGGCCTTGGATGCGCGCGAGGCCATTAGAGCGGGGCGCACCTACAATCTTCATTTCCTACACCTCAGAACGATTCGACTCAGCCCAAACCCGTGGCCGCACTTGGCACTCCTCTGGAAGCTCCCCACACGGCAGAACCAGCACCAGCCACATGGCGTGGAAGCTTCGGCCCGAGGTGAGGTTCCGTAACTCATGGGTGCGACTTCGGCTGCCCGAGTCCGTTCCCTTGGTCTGGATTTTTCCCAGCATAAGAAGGGAGCGCCAGTTTGAAAGCATGAACCACCGTTCTTGGGACCTTCTTCTTTCACAGGTGTTTCTTGGAGGGTTTCATGAAGCTTTTTTAGTGGCTCCTGATGTCTCCCTTGATGTTCTGAATGGCGGTTCCATGTGGCCATCGATGCAAAGTCAGGCATCCAAATTTCAGCCAAGCCACCTAACAACTCAGGCATACAGCATGCTGCACGTGCAGAGCTCTCTATGGTCTCAAAGGCTTGCTGAAAAGGTCCTCTCAAAATTAGCTTTATGGAAAACGAGCAGGCCAGCGTGTGGAAATGACATGGTTCGTGCACATACACTCGCAGGTGCCCATATATGTACGTGTGGTTCATCCGCATGTACTTTTGTTGCGCCACGGGCAAGCAGCGACATGCACATCTGCATGCGCCCGGCACCCCAGGCGGGGAGAGAGGGCAGCTTTATTACCAGGCAGCTTCGCCCAGTGTGTGTGTCCGTCTCCAGAAAGAAAGTTGCTGACCCGGGCACAATCAGCCCTGACTAAGCATCATCCATGCGGGTCATGGGCTCAGCATCAAACAATCGGACACTTATATACTACGCAGAGGCGTGAACATCTGTCTGGGTTCATTGCAGTCCAGTCATGGTCACACCAGGAGGTTTTGCAGTTCAGGGTGTTGCATCTTGGACATGGCGAGCCTGGGGCAGTCCTGCCGCCTGGGTGGGAAGGTGATAAAGAACCCGGGTGAGGTGTGGCATGAATGTCTGGCATCATCGAATGGACAGGGTGCTCCTTGGCAGCCACGCAACATCCCCGCCAGGAACCCACCAGCACCTTCCCCTTCCACAGAGGTGCGTTTGTGAACAATTAGATGAACCGAACCAGCGCCACCTATGCTCAAGCAGTGCTCTAGTCGAGGCGCTTGGTGGTTTGCAGAAGCTCACGATCTGCACGTCCGTGTCTTCCATGGAGCCCGTCTGCGTGGCCGCTGCAGGCTCCGAAATGAAGCTCTGCAGGGAGCGAAATGGGCAGTCGGGGTAATCCAGCTGGCTGCTGCAGAAGGCGCCGATGGGGAACTGGCGCCTCAGCTTGAAGGCATCAACGCCTTCTTAAGGAGGCAGGAATAACTAACCCCCCCCCCAAGCAACCGGCCAGGCTCAAACCTCCTGAGATCATGCACATTTGGTCATGATTCGTCGGGGATTGGGAAGCCTGATGGCTGTTCCAGCAATTGCTAATACTCCTGATGAATACTGTATGCAAGTGCGAGCTCTTTGCATAGCCAAGACCAATCGATTTCATCATGGAATCATGAGGGACAAGAGGTTTTGGGAAAACAAACAAAATGGTGATCTACTACACGTGTGAGAAAGAAAGAAGAGTGAAGAGTTCCGTGATGAAGGACAGGTCGACCACGATCAGACGCTAACAGAGCTAAGACGTCTGATGATAAAAAGACTCACCGGAAGAGAGGGAGAGACAGAGAGAGAGAGAAAGAGAGACAGAAAGAGAGAGAGAGAGAGAGAGAGAGAGAGAGAGAGAGGGAGGGAGAGAGAGAGAGAGAGAGATGCAGTTGGCTGCAGAAACTACCAACCAACTCACGCGGACACTTGTGGAGACGCAAAAGGAAGACTGTGGCACAGTGGCTTGAGGATTGAAGAACTAGAGAGAAGTCGCAACCTTCCGCAAGAACATTTCGCTCATACTTATAAGAGATGGAAATTGCGAGGACGCATGTTGGAGAACAAGAAGAAGGAAGAACCTCTCAGAGATGCAGGGGATGCCCCTCGCGAAGACATGTATATATATATATATATGCAGAGAAGAGCAAGGGGGGGAGATCGAAGAGTTGACGTGGCCCATGAGAAATGTTCAAGGGTCTCTACAGAAGGAAGAAGAAGCTGGATCTGCTAGGAAACGCGCAGAAGCAGTAGACCACCAAGCGGCTGTTCAAGTATCCAAATTGGAGGTCACTCTGCAGAACCTTGAAGCCAAAGCAAGAACGAGAAGAATCACAACGAGGCCGGACTACGAACAAGATTGGGGGAGGCAAACCTATGTCCGTCCACCCCCTTGCGGAACCAGCTCTCGTGCACGGGAAATTGCCTTGGCCGGCAGAAAGGCGCCTCGCCCCTCAAGGGCGGCGGGCTATGCTGATGGGCTTCCGGATCTCGTCGGCCGAGATGCGCTGCGCATCATGAAGCGAAAAAGACGATGGTCAGGGATGTAGCAACGCAATCATTGCCAACGGCGAAGCTGCAGGTCAAGCGGATCTAGAACGTACAAGGATAGAGAGCCAGGCAGCGATTTTCTACAGCAAGAGGCAAGATGCTCTCAGCGGCGAACTCAAAGAGAAGGAGGACCTCCTGAAGAAGGTACGTATGGAAGCATTGGCGCCTCGCACAGAGATGAACGCAAAGAAGCAGACTCGGGTCGATATGAACAACGCGTATTCGAAGGAAGTCAAGAAACGGGGCCGACGGGTCATCGTCGAGAAAGGGTACCTTAAACAGTTGGATGAAGAGAATGAGCAACTGAGGAAAGGCACGGTGACAGACACAAAGGACGACGAGGGCAAGATCGACTGAGGGGCAAAGCTGCTAGGGTAGGAAGTGCTTCAAAGCTCATCTCTGCAAAAAGCCGTCTGGCGGGCACGAATGGGACCGACATGCTGGTGCCTGGCGTGGCGCGGGCTTCATTTATTCTTGTCCGCGGCATGTGTCGGTGTTCAACATGAATGACCTCGCCAAGGCCAAGCAGCAACTAGGTTGGTTGCAAAATGAACAAGCGAAAAGCGAGTTTGCATATGTTGCATAAAATAGTTCGGAATCAGCCAGGTGTGAGAGGAACCTGGTCGGCATTCGACTCACCTGCACCTCAATAGCTGTGACGAACTACTTTGTCGGAGAGGGGCTCCATAACGAAAGGGTTTGGATTTGTGGAGCAAGAGTGCGCCCATCAGTCCAACGAGACTGGCATGCCCGTATCCGCCACACTGAGGAGAAACTCCCCAAGCAATGGCAAAGAACGCGCAGCTCAAAGATGCCCTGTGCTGTTTGAGTAGCACGTTGGAGCAACTTAAGCAGGCAACAAACGCGTTCGCGCAGGTTGTTCGCATTGTCAGTAGAGGCAGGCCCGTGCAGCTTTAGTCAACAGACTGCTTTCGCGCAGTTTGTTCGGTGTGCAGTGGGCGGGAAAGGCAGCGCTTGTTTCCGAGGCAAACTTGGCTGCTTGTTTCTGCGGGTCCAACAGCCAAAATGCAGGGCGATCGCCACCCGGGGGCGTCAACCAGGGAGGAGGTTGGAAATTGGCGCCTGCGAGATCTTCCGGATCAGCGTTTACGGGCAGCGGCGGCGGCCTCCGCCTCAGACGGTTCCATGGCGGATGGTCGTTCGGGGGCACTCTCAACGACTTGATTGAGGAGCGACAGCGTCATTAAAGGAGCTGGAAGGCCTGAAGGATCAATGGCTTGAAGTTGATAGCCTCAATGCCAAGTCCCAGCGCATGGCTGCCAGCCGGTCAGCCGGTGCGGGGGATGGTGTGATCGAACGGGGCCTGGGTGGGAGAAGCCTTAGAAGGAAGCCTGGAAGAGGCCGTACTTGCACCCTCTGAAAAGTGGCTCAAAACCCGCTGAACGTCGAACCAGCCTGCCATTGCAACCGCTTCACAAAGTCACAATGTCGCGGCCAGCAGCACACCCATTCCAACAAAAACAAGGAGAGGCAAAACGCTAGCCAAGCCCAGTAAACCCAGATGCAACAGAACAAGGTAGGTTGCGCTGGCAAAACGGCGTGCGTCGAACTTCTTGAAGCAAAAGAGGCTGAGCACTGCCAATTCCCTGAACGCCAAAAGAAAGTTAACATAAAGCACATCCTCGTTCTTCATTTGCTTTGGGAAACTGCCCATGCCAAGCTTCGTTATTTTGCAAAGGGCTGCCTTCCTCAAGCCTTCTCGTCACCACAGACTCCACACACAACCACAGCGCCTCCTCCCCAGTGAGCTTGTTGTACAGTAGTTTGCCCACAGGCCAAACCCCTCCCGTCCGTCCAAGGCACTGGAGCAACTGCCTGCAGGCGATCCAAACCAAACAACAGAAACAGAATTTCAGGCGCACTGAAAGCCATGGGCAACCAAACAGCCCAACCTTCCAACCTGATGCTACAGCGCATTTGGAATCAAAAACAACACTGGAAACAATTCGAACATTCCCGCCATCCACACTCGCCCCAAACAGAGCCCAATCAGCTGACAGAATGAAAACCAAATCTGAGCTTGCCTGGCGGCAGACTTGGTGAGGAGGTACCTTGGCTGTGAGACATGCAGAATCTCCCTTGGATCCACGGAGAGGGGTATGCCCTCCCACTTGGGGCGGGAATCCGTTCCAGCTGCAATTGCGCACGCAAATCGGATTGTAAAAAGATACGTTTGCGCGTGGTCCGCTTGCAAATTTCAGGAGGCCGAACCTCAAACCTACCAGGGGTCCAGACAGGTGACGCAATCATTCCCAGCAAAGCACTAACAGAATGTCTTCGCAAAGATCCTCACATGTTGGAGGTGGGGATGGGGCGCTGCGCCCTCCTTGCGGCAAGTGGAAAGCTATACTCCTTCATGAAAAACGATGAACCTTTGTTTACCAGGGCAATTGGTTTCTTAAAAGAATGCCAACGGCGCTGCTAGTTTTATTAGTCTACATTGTGGGTTGGACTCAGCTATACCCTGAGCCAAGCCGCATTCCCGTGTTGTTCCCGGAGCCCTGCTTCAGCGTCAAGTCCTGCTCCTGTGCAGCTGCGGTAAACGCATGCCAGGTTGGGCAAAGTGGCTTAAACAAACAGATCATGTTTCCTTCAGGCAGGCTGCTTAGACAGGAGTCACATCAAGACGCTCTATCAAGCAGTTGGTCCACGATCGTGGGCCCAACCCCAATGTCATGCGAGCAACGGTTCAGATACGCGAGCGTGCCCACGTGTATGCCGGGCACGTGGACATACAAAGAACTCATGCACTGAGTTGTAGTGAGCCGCCGTAGGATCTTAAAATCTTAGTGGCTTAACGTGCTAAGATTTTCATGGCTTAAAGTCTGACATCTCAATGGTTTGAAACCTTGAAATCTTAAGGGCTTCACATCTTATGTCAAGAGACGGCAAGGTGACGTCCCGTGGGACGCTGTGCACCGAACCCTCAAGCTTCAATACCAACCACGTAGAAAGGTGTATACGGACGATGCCGTTATAGCCGAACCCGTGTAAACGTTGTAAGGAAGAAGGGATGATAGTCACAACAGTAGTCCTGACAGTGCGGCGCGAGCAGTTGTTTTCCTCCTAATGCCAATCACGGATATCCGCAGTCACACATCAGATCTTGAACCTCAATTGTGTCTTGAGCCAAATGGCGATCAATGGAACTTGGGAAGCAACACCAACAAGGACCTCAGAACAGCTACCCAATTTCGGCACGGGGCCTAGAGGGTTTTAACATCCCCCATTTGGGTCGCATTGTTCATCATGCGGTCCAAACACCACAAAACGTTCCACTGGCCACGGCTTCAACTACGAAATCGTGTCGTGCATTCTTTTACTTGCTATCACTACACCGTTCATTCGCTGTGAAACATGCCGGGTTCGATTGTACGAAAAGTGAAACATTCATCCTCCAATCGAAGCACACATCCATATGCAGGTGTATATAATACACTGTGGCCACTTCACTTGACCGCCAGTGAACATTCCAGCTGCCGCATTTGCGCATCGCGCAGCTGTCATCCATAAATGGGTTGGCCACAAATGTCCACCATGCGCGCCCGCTTGTGATCGGTCTGCATATCTCCGGCAAAGAAACATCGGTGAGTAATCAATGCAAATCATAGCCATTCCAGATACCATGGACAATGCATAAATAATGAAAAGATATCATCTATAAGGTAATAGTTCCATCCATGAATATCCAGAGCGTCATAGTCATCGGAATATGTAACCATGTACACACCCAATCATCTTGGACACATGAATATAAATCATGACATAAGTCGTTCCACCGAAACAGTGTCGATGTGACGCAAGTAACAGATGGGGACTGGCCCACATCGTACCGCAATCATCATCTTCACGAAGCATACCTGTCCCCAATGGACAGCCTATGGGTACGTCGGCGGAACTCCTCGTCCAAGTTCTTCTGGGCTTCTCGTGCCCGGACACACTTCTTGTTGTAGTCCTCTGGCAACCAGTGCCCTTTCCGAAGGCACCAATCCAGCAGGGGTGTGTCGCATTTGTTCGGGTCGACGGCCGAGATGATGGCGCTCACATTGACCGCGTAGCCATGCTTGCCAAGGTTTAGGCCATCCCTCACGAATGATATATACTTACAGTTGAAAGCTAGCGCAAAACATCTGAAAATAATATCACCCACCGGGTGCACTCGGTCCTTGACCAGGAGCTTCATTTCTTCCTTGGTGACATCGAGGATTCTTGCTGCAATCCACAGCTTGTAGAATGTGTATAGTCCCTCGCATTTGTTCACCATCATACGAATATATTCGTCACGCTCCTCAACCGATCGGAAGGCTCTTGTCCGAACATTCTCCGATTGAGAAATCTTCGTTATTGTTGATGGCAAAAGTATACCTTCCTGATCATGCTCAGTGATGTTGGGGTACCTCCTGAAGTCATTGTGGTAAGGGCAGCCCTCTCTCCCCTCGAGCTTGGCAATCATCGTTCTATCCTCACCACCTTCAAACATCCCCCACATCTTGGACAGCTGGAGTGCGATAAATCCTGCCATGTACTGAGCCTCACGCGGCTCGTCAAGGCAGATCGCCATCCGTTGGGAACTTATAATGTCCCGTGACGCCAGATCGGTGTCGCGGTAATGCCAACCGCTGTCTTCTTCTTCTGACGCATAGCCGGATGTATATCCTTGCGTGTCCATGTCGTCATCTTCTCCCGGAACTTCCTCCGCTTCGTCCTCATCCTCCTGTGCTGCCGCATCGTGGTTAGCTTCTTCCTGTGCACGCCTGGCATCTCCAGAGACGTTGGGGTTTTGGTTGTCCTCCTCGTCATCGGATTTGATGTGAATGTAGTATCTTCCGATGGAGATCAGTTGTGCCTCGCACTCCAGGCATAAGCAGAAGCAGGTGGGGATCGCGGTCGCACATGATGGACATATCCGGCACCTCAGTCCTTCCCATGTCTCATCATTCAGGATGACGACTTTGCTGACTTCGTCCCGGACCTCGTTGACCTGTGCGTTGAACTCTTCCATCTTGTTGTTTCGATAGAGTTCGCAAGCACGATTAACCATGTCAACGATGTAGTGCAGATTATCGGCACCTGTCTCAGTCTCCGGCATCCTCTCGCTGATCTTTGCGACGTTCTGGAGGAACATCGCAGCCGACTCTTGGGATGAGTTGACAAAGCCAGGGCAGATCTCATTCTCCACACACTTCGAGTACGCCCTCTTGATGTCAGCGTACTCCAGGCGCTTCCCTCCATTGCTTTTGCCAATCCAAATGGACTTGACCTCATAGAACGGGATCACGTCAAAGACCATGAAAGTCCCATTAGCCGCGACTCCAGCCCCATACCGCGCGAGGGTTGCACTGGGAATATAGATGATCGCAATCGGATCCCCTCTCCTCACGTTCCGTAGCGTTGTCTTCGTCGCCACGTTCATCTCATCCCATGGAGCAAACGCCCCGAAGTGCAGTGCTAGCCTGTTACCGCCATCGATTCCGCCGGGGACTAGCCCACAGCGTACGATGCTTGGCAGGTTTTCCACATACGTCACATGGAATGCTCCTCCGAGAGTATCACCCATTCTTGCGGAATACCTATTCGCCAGTGCGGATGAGCTCATGAATCCAAAATCACTGTGACCGGTTGTGACTCGGATGCACCAAGGTCTGTACCATCCATCGCATCTGTTGAACATCCTGTCGATGTCGTCCCGATCCACGCCAGCCTTGGTCATTTCCTCCCTGGCTGCCCTCGTGTCGTTCGGGTTCATGATGCTCGGAAACCTTGCTGCCAGAACCTGGAATCTCGACTTCTTGCTTCCGGATTCCTGCCACTTGATCACCTCCATGATGCCCATGTATCGTTTCGCTCTCGAGGTGTTAGGTGGGAATATGTCGTTGTTTCGGTCGTCAATGACAGCATCAATGTCGACCCATCCACCCTCGTCGCACCTGAAAGCACTTCCTCGGCAATTGCCGATCTTGTGTCGAAGGACTCTGCATAGGTCGTGAGATAGCTGGTTTGCTTGGTCCCTTGTAGTAAATACCGAGCGATCATCACCAATCCTGCATAGTGGAGCACCGTCGAAAGGAGCAATGCAGAAGTTGACACTCTTGCCAAGTTGCATCACGTCCACTTGCTCAAGGATTGCACCTCTGGGAAAGTACCTGGGGTCAACAATAGACGCGTATGCCCGTGGCATATGCACATCAATCATGTCGCCGTACTTCGGGATGTAGCACGGGATGGTGTCGCATCCCATCTCAAGCGTCTTCTTGAATGTCCTGCTGTCCCCGCACGGGTTGTAGGTGAGGTCGACGCCACCACATTGTAGCTCTCCTCCCTCAGCCGTGTCAGCCATCTCCACCAAATTAATAGTGTAGCTGTACATCTCAATTGTTTCTTTCCCTGCTTGTCCCCCTTTCTTTCTTTCCTTGGACGTTGATGAGGTCGGTTCCTCCGTATCCCCCATGTCTTCATCAGATGAAACAGGGTCACTGCTGAGTAGCTCACGGAGCACCTTCATCGCCTTCTCATTTCCAGCAGCCTCCTCAATGTCCTTGCAGTCGCCGTCGTGGGCCAGGTTCGCGCACTTCTTACAGATCCCCATATCTCCCATGCACTTCTCCATTGACTCCAGGAATCCTAGTGCCGCTCTCCGCCCGTCGATCACACGCTGCTTCTTGTCCTCCTTCTCAGTATTGGCTTGAGAACTTCGACTCGGGTCTGGTGCTTGACCAAGACCCTCATCTTCGCCCTCCGTGGCCTTTCTCTTGGACCCTTGTGCAGAGGGCTCGGTGATCAGGGATCGTGGATGTCTGGGCTTGACCTTGTTCATGATGTCAAGCACCTCCTTCGTGGGCACGCCGAGCTGTGCGGACGGTTTGTTCCGCTTTCTGTTCTGGCCCGTCGTGTGGGTCACGTTCCCAGCGAGGTGTCGCACTATTGACTGCTCGAACTCCCTCTTGATCTTCCATGCATCCTTCCACAGTGGCAGTTCGTGCTGGAAGTACGACATCACCTCAAAGAATCCCAACACCATCTCGACGACGTCTCCCAAGGACTCCTCGTTCGT